ACTATATATATATTATATATATATTATATTTATAAATACGTATATATATTCAGAAACAGAGAGTGAAGGGGGAGGAAGAGAGAAGAAAGAAAATAATACAACCGTTCTCCAGCGCCACAAACTACAAAATGATTTTTGAGTCGCGCCCCAGCGGATATTCAAATTTTCAAATTTTGCTCCCTAACATTATGGTCAGTGTTTGGCATTAGGCCAACGTTTGTGTTTATATCTGTTATCTCGACCTTAAAACATTGCCAATATTGGAATTCCGTTTGTCTTTCAAAAGCATTATTCTGGAAAGTAGTCTTTCCTTTTTGGATGCACCTCTCTTTGCTTCATCTTGTGTCGTCAGCTTCAATTCAAGAGCTTCCATTGAAGCTGCAGTGCTGCTTAAAACTGCTAAAGAAGAGTAAAGAAGTTAATAGTGAATATTTTGCACTTTGTACTAGACAGGTTTGATTTTGCAAGCATTTCAATAAGATGCTCTAGCTTCTGAACTTTTTCATAATTGTGATAACTTTGTTTATTCGTTTTGTGAGATTAACATGGGTCTGCAAGTCATGTCTGACACAAACTCTTCCGTTCATGATCTGCCTAATCATGTGCACGTTTTTCGTCAAACTGCTCTTTCCATCTGTTTTTTCTCGGCATCCTTTCTAAATTCTTTTTTTCTCTGTTTTCCTGCCCCCTCTCTCATTAATGCGTGCTCTCTCGTGCTCAGTTGCAACCCTGCCTATCGATCTGCGCTTGCCCATACAGACCTCAGGCGCCTTCACTCGCATAATGCTCAGCCAGCCTTTTCCAGCATGTTTTTTTTCTTTTTTTAGTCTTTCTATAACCATATATAGATATTATTTGAATAATTCTCGAGTTGTTCCAATGTTTTTAATTCTTTCTAATCTGCTGTGACACATATGTCTTAAGCTGCTCCAGTTATATTTTTCCTCTATCTCTAAATCTTCATTCAATTACTATTTGTGTAAAATCTTCGGCTTCTAAAATGACTGTTTTCTGTCTCTCTCCGCATGAAATATCCTTAGGAGTTGAAAAAAGGATATTTTTTAATTCTCCTCTACTCCACTCACACACATACACATGCTCACGCACACACACGCACATACACACACACATGCACACACACTCACACACACACACACATGCACACACGACAGATAATCCTATAGGCTGAATACAAACTTTCGTTCAGTTTGTTCAAAAACGTTTCTTCTCGCAACTCCACAAAGCGATTAGAGAATTATAATTAGTCTGAATGAATTTGTTTAGTTATTTATTTGGATAAACTAATTTGTGGCTTACAATTTTTTGTTGGCCCTTTCATTCTAGATATAAGCCAGGCAATATTAATGAGCATCGAGTTCGAAAAATTGATTTCCGCCAAGCAAACTTGACTCAAATCTTTTTTTTTTTTATTATTTTTTTTCTTTCAAAAATCCTATTAACCTCTATTGATTCGCGCTTGCCATTGAGTCCAGCCAAAGATGATGATTCGTGATTTTATGAATAATCTTTGAAAGAAAAAAGCCTTTCGGACCAAATAAAACGAATATCATTATTATATCGCCATAATAAATCATAACAATATCTGAAATAATTTCGAACCCAATATGGAGAAAGCCAACCAATATTTTCTTCAAACACAACATCACACAGCCAATCGTTTGAATTCGATCCAATGCTCTCCTCTCTAACTTAACCCGATCAAACTTTATCTGGCTGACAAGATTGCGTGACATTATCCACCTACATGGAGTTGAAGCTTTAAGTTCGTAGTTGAAAAGCTAATTAAGATGATGAATATTCGTAATCACGTGAATGACAAGTTTCAGACTAACCATGAACGTTGTCTAATTTATAGCTCCAAGTAACAAGCCTTTCCCTCCCAACCGAATACAAACTAAAAAAAGTTGGATTGAAGAGAAGGAGCCTTGTTACATGGATAGTCGTCTGACAACGGCATTACTACTCAGTGTAGAAAAAAAATAAAAAAGCAAAAACCATTCATAATGTGTTAGAAAATCGGATATTCATCCCTTTTCAATTTTTTCTTCTCTATTTCCCATTATCTTTATTGTATTTTGATTATGGGTTACATAACATGTTTGGTCAGGAATAATTGTTAGCTTTTCAAAAATAATACAGGGATACACGCAATGGGATACCTGTCCTTTCTTGTTAAATCTACTGTTCGCGAAAAAAAAACGAAAAAACAACGAAATACGCCTTTTTCCCACCTAACTATCTCGCGGACATATCGTGCAACCGTTTTCAGTCCGTCTGAGCCAAGAAATGATCGCCTTCGTGCCGTGGCGCACTACTGCCGTGAGATGTACGTGAACCTTATCTGGGCGGGAAATTCAAATTTCTCGCATGGAATGCAAACAAACAATTGCTCCCGAACGGACATTTTTGAATTCGTTATGATTAAATGATAATCGAAATATTCAGATAGCGTACCTAAAATCCGGAAATGGAATACAAATTCTGTTTAGTTTTCGAAGTGCTTTCTCGCAGTTTTTAAGACCTCCCTCAAAGAGAAGCTCGTCGTCTCCTCCCGGCTCTCCTTCTTATCCTCTTTAGATAGTTGAATTGAAAATGAGCTTTTCGTATCTCTTCGCCCCACGGAGCAGCCTTTACCCCTCTTTTTCTTTCTCTCTTTTTCTCTAGTCTCTCCGTATCTCTCTTTATTTTCACCATATTCCTCTCATCTCACGCTCACTGCCCTCCTTCCTATCCTCGTCCTCTCCCTCTTCCTTCGCTCTGGCTCAGCTCGGCTTGAGTCGGCCAGCCAGCCAGCGGAGCAAGCAACCAGCCAGCCGCTTGCTCTCGTCTCGGCCCAGTCTAGCTTAGTTAGGCCGAACTAGCCAACCCGAAACCCTCACTTGATTGTATATAACGTGGTTTTTTTTATACTAAAAAGGGTTCACTAATCTGATTTGGTGATTAAAAGCGTATAGAGAGGCAAACGCTGAGAAGCTTTAAGTTTTGCAAGTGATTTTTCATTTTCATCGAATACGTAGGCTCACTTCATCACATTTTCGTTCGATCCTCTCAGAATTCATTGCTATTCATCATTCGTTCAGTCGTGCTGTCTCATTGTCTCATCAAAACATGATTGTCTCACTTTTTTTTCTTATAATTCCCAGATAAAAAACATCTCCTGTTCGCACTCATCAACTGATTATCACAGAGTAAAACATGATCGTATCATTGAATGCAAGTTGTGTCGTTGTCTGTGCTTTTTCATTTCCATTGAGTAATTTCGTATGCTCGTTGTACTTCTATGTTATATATTTTCATTCCTCACAACATTTATTTTCCGATAATCTGTTCAAACATTTCATTGCCGTCGCCAACAACTTTCGAATAACTGTGTTGTCGCATTGTATACAACAGTCATTGCTTTCTATCAAGAAAGGAGTAACTTGCTGATTATTTGTTAAATCTTCTCATCATCATCGTGATGAAGTCGATTTAACCCGAATTCTGCGGAAGTTTTTTAGCAGCAAAAAAACTCCCGCAGATATTCGACTGGCCCATGTCAGTTGTAGTGTGGTGTTGGTCAGAACTCCGCCCCATCTCTGAAGTTGGCGACGTCAACGACGATGGCATACCCGCCATGACGAACTGTAAACTCTAAAATAATTGATTTTCTTGCTTCAAATTCTTGATTTCGTCTTCCTTCTTATTTATTTTTTAGCTTAAATTATCAAATAAAAGCGTCATCGTGTTTTCTTTCAGACTCAAAATGTACAAACCATGTTAGCCGAGTAGAAAAGTAGAGATAAATAGAACAGGTGCGTTTAAAAAATAATTTTGTTTTACCTGAAAAGGCTTGTGCAAGGCTGGAATCCTTTTTCTCTGTCTCTATCTCACCCTCTCTATCTCTGTTCCCTCTCCACCCTCGTTTTCTCTCTCTCTACATCTCTCTCTCTCTCTCTCTCCCTCTCTATCTCTCTCTCTCTGAAACATTGTTGCAATTATTTTGTGCTTTTCTCAACATTTTGCTTGGAAATAACGATAGCAAAATATCGGTGAAACAAAAATTTGGTTGGCCGTTCGACCAGCCCCTTCTCCCTCTCAGCCAACTTCCAACCAAAATCAGCTTTGCACAAGTCTTTCTGCCGTCTCTGTCCAGCAATGCTCTTATTTGGAGACGATGTGTTAGAGAGATTCAATATGAAATCTGCTTCTTCTTGTTCAGATGGCGGCTGAAGGCCACAACGTGGAAGCAACAAACGTTGTCATTGGCAAAGACAACGGCCATTACTTCCTTAAAAAGACGTTTGGCAAGCCAACCTACTGTAATCATTGCAGTGATAAGATGTGGGGAATGCTCACGCAAGGATTTGTTTGCGAAAGTAAGTTCTAAATGAAGTTTTGAAGGAAATTGGACTGTCATCTGACAGAGCCTAGGCTTGTCTCAGACATCTAAGCCATCTGTGTCTCTTCTAAATGTCAACGTTCAACTTGACAACATCCTAATCTCTTTTAACATTTGTTTATTAACAAAAGATTTATTTCAGTCTGTAATTTTGTCACCCATGAGAAGTGTCTGAGAAGCCTTGTTTCCAACTGTTGTGGCCTCGCTCGGCAGCTCGTTAAGGTGATATTGAAGCATTTTGTAGTTTCTTTTAAAATATTTATCTGTTATGGAAATGATTTCCGGCATAACAGATGATCACCACCCTCATTTTAGTTCGTTGAAGAAGAAAAAGAGAGGAGAAGAAGGAGTGATAAATAATTTTTTTAAGAAAACAAAAATTAGCTAATTAGGTGATTGACACTCTCTGCGAAGTCAGTTGCATAAACAGAGGGATCAGTTCTATTTATAGCTTAACTTAAAGCTTTTTCTTCTTCTTCTCCTTCTTCTTCTACTTCTTCTTATTGCTTCGTCAATAAAACGATGATCATCAATTTGCTTTATAGAATCCCGTCGCTCATACATGGTCTTTACCTGGTATGATAAAGAAGAAATTCTGTAATGGGTGCGGACGACGAAGTGATGAAATGCTGGCAGTCGAGTGCGAGGGTAAGCTGATTGCTCTGATTCTTTTCTTTTCTTTTTCCTTTTTTTGTTATTTTGTCTGGTGCCGGACAAGTTTTGAGCTGAATGTCCTTAAATTTCAGTCTGCGAGTATTATCTTCATGTTGATTGTATGGATCTTGCTGTTTCGAATTGTAAAGAAGCAGCCACATATGTCCCAAGCCTTGACCCGGTAATTTGAAGTTTTTCATCTTCTTTCTCCTATGTCTTAGTTTGTACTTTCGAGAAACAAGTCATGTTCGAAAGTAAGAAGAGAGAGAGGGAGAGAGAGGGAGGAGGGAAGTGGGAGGGAGGGGAGTGGAGGAGAGCTTCTGCATTTAAACCTTCATATTTAAGTGGAGGAACCAATTGTGTAGCAATTGAGTTATCCATTTTCTGATTATTTCATAAATAAAATAGTCATAACAGAGCCGTTGGGAGCTATTCACTGCAAAAAAATCCTGATGTGATCGCTCACATATCGAAGTTCAGAAGTGTCTATTTCGGCACTATCAAAGAGCTATTGCATGTAAATGAGCCAAAAAAGCAAAATGGGTTTTCCCTTGAGAGCTTTCTCCCGTAATGGTGACAAGATTCAAAGAAAAAGAGACTGGGAGATTCGTGAGAGAGAACAAAGTGTCTTCTGAAAAAAAGCAACATCGAACACACTGACGTTATGAGAGGGAGTGAAACGGAAAAGAAGCCTGCAAATTGAGAGAGAAATAAAAGGGGAAAAGAGAGAAGTCTAGAGATAGAGAGGGAGAAAATAAGGGTGAAGCGCTGGAGAAAAATGACATCATTTCCTTGCTCATTACGCTTTGTCGATATGTGGCTATGGGTCGGTTTGAAGAAGTAGGTTTTTCGCGAGGAGGACTCTCTCACTTTCTTTCTTTTTCTGCGTTCTGCTTCTATGCTTGGGAAAATTCTAAAGACGGGCAAGAGAGTGTAGGAAGGAAAAAAAGATGGGAAAGATAGTCAAAGTGGAGGAGTGTGAGCGAGATAGCATGCTGCCGCTGCTTGACAACATTGGCCAAGTGTGGAAACAGAGACAGAGCCACAGAGTCATCAGTAGCCGCAGAAGAGAAAGGCAATCCTTTGCGCACAAATGAGAAGCTAGAGAGTAAAAGGGGGTGAGGAGACAGCAGGACAGCATGATGCCGTCATTTGAATGCTCTCTATCTTACTTTTCTTCTTTTCGTCTTGTCTCTTTGCATTTGCCTTAGTTGGTTCTTTCATATTTCCTCTTAGTCTTCGTCTCCTTTTTTGGAAATAGTACTGAGGAGATAGAAGGCGAACGGTCGATATGCCATAGCGTACAAGCTTCATCTCGCTCGCAGTCGTCGTTTTCACTCTGGTTCTTTAACTTTCATGCCTGGCGCCCTCTTCAATTTGTATGTGCTATCTTGGAATTTTCCCTTTTCGTTTGTAGCTTCAGTCTTACTCCATCCTCTCATAGCATTCTTTCCTCCCACTCAAAACCTTTCGTTCAGCAGGTTTCTATCTAGTTGGCAAATTAGAATGAAAATTCATCGATGAAAGACGAAAAAGAAAAACAAACAAAACAAAAAGGGAAACACATAAGTGGGATAAGGCACTAATCCCTGTTAATGTCAAATGACGAGAGAGTTGATAACAGAACTGAGTTGATGATGGTTATAAAGTACGAAAGTATTTAGAAGGGCTTGGAGTTTATGAGTTCGTCAACGTTGTATTTACAGAACGGCCATACACATGAACATCATCTGCGAGAGGGAAACTTACCTCGCGATTCCAAATGTTGTGTTTGTCGGAAAAGTTGTTACTCTTCCGAATGCTTTACAGGCGTTCGTTGTCTTTGGTGTGGACTGACGGTTTGAACAATGGGAAATGAGAATTTAGTTGATTCATCCAATTTCAGGCTCACTATAGTTGTTCAAGACAGATACCGGAGAATTGTGAATTTGGAGCTTTAAAGAAGATTCTCTTACCTCCGTCATGTCTTACAATTCCACGCACGGAATTACCCATGGAAGCATTACTGAACATCACAGCTGATCAGCCACAGTCTCGTAAGGGTCAGAGTTCTTTACACTGTCCTTTCCTTCGAATTTTTCCTGCACAAAACATACTTTCTACTACTTTATCCTTATTTTGGTTTAGTAAGATGCATGTGCATGCTCAGAAGCACCAAATTCTATTTTCCATATGGGATATGGTTGAATTGAAACTTATCTTCTTGTTTTTTCAGTTTCATCGCCACAGAAAATTCAACCAGATGAAGCAAGCTCTAGTGGAGATGATATTAAGGTTTGACAACCTTTTCCTAATTCAATTTATTCGTCTGTTGAAGGAGAGAGAGGATTGTGAAGTTCTTCGTGTTTTCGACGGTAACAGCTCTCTACGATCCCAAGTCTTTAGAACTATATCCGTACCCAAAACTGCAACAGTGCAGCAGATAAGAGTATGTCTCTACATACTCTACGCTTCTTACATTTTTTTACTTGAAGGACACCGCTTTACGAAAATTCCAAATTTTTGATAATCCTGAGAATTATAATGTGACTCAAGTTCCAGGCGATGGTAAGCACTTAACAAATAGCTTTGGAAGATTTGAATTTTGATTATAGTAGGTGAAGAAGAAGCTCTCGAAGATCCAGTACCTCTTCGAAATGTTAAGCGACCAGAAGGGCGACGGGCACAAATTTTTCTTCGACATAAGGATAAAGACTCCGAGAAAGATATCATACGTATCTACGGAGGATGGCTAAGGCAAGATTCTGCTAGCAAACTATATTAATCTTACGTTTTAAGAGTATGTGTTGCTCCACACAGTGTGAATCTTGCTCGTGAGACCATTGTGCAAGATTGTATTGCCGAAGGTTTACGAGCATTTGGATTGGATTCATCAACGTGGAATAAGTAAGTTCATTGAATTATCATAATCTTAATCACGAACCTGCAGATACAACTTAATCGAAGTTTCCTTGGACACCGGTGTGGCTGAAAGGACATGCAACCCCCAGGAAAATATGCTTCAACTTGTTAGAAATTTGAGAAAGGTTAGTCATGCCGTTCAGAAACAACTAATCTCTCTTCTCCAGGATTCATTACGGAGATATCATCTATTACGTTTTTATCTTCAAGAAAAGGAAGATCCTCATGATCATGCTGTGTTCGTCGGAAATTTACCAGTTTCCATTGCTCAACGAAGTTACGAACGAATTTTATTGAAACTTCTTGGTGCTACGAAAGGTACACTCCATCCCATCATCTGGCATCTGTTTCTTCTTAATTCCAGAAAAACCATTTTCGTCAATTGGTCCTATATATTTCGAATATGGTTCCCTAATTATAACATTTAGTACGGCCAAGGTTAGTATTTTTGCTCGTTTGCATATATGCATACGTGGAACGCGCGAGTCACGCATTTTGAAAATCGCGCCCAATTCACGTGAAACTCACGGCATTGGCATCCATCACAGGAGACGCCATTTCGAATGTTCTAAACCACGACATGTTGCATGCAGCTTAAAATCTAGAATCCTTCTTTATTCCTATTTTTAGGCTGCCACTATCGCGGTACAGAAACTGCAAGCTGCGACGTATGAAGACAAAAAGCTTATTGTGTTATGTCTTCCAAATATTCAGGTTTTTGAATAGAAACTTTATCGTATCAAACTTAGTATCTTATAGCCTCATATGGTTGCTCCTGATTCGGAGCCATTGCTCGTATTGGTCAATGTTAAAAGTGGTGGTTGCCAAGGAACTGAACTAATTCAGTCCTTCCGAAGATTGCTCAATCCTTTTCAAGTTTTTGATGTACTGAAGGGTGGCCCGCTCGTGGGGTAAGCATTAATATCTTTGAAAAGCTAATCTTTTTCCTTATCAATATTATTCTTCAAATTTGCAGGCTTTATGTTTTTCGGAATATTCCCAAGTATAGAATTTTGGTGTGCGGAGGAGATGGAACTATTGGTTGGGTTCTGCAATGTCTTGATATAGCCAAACAGGTATCAATAAGGATGCAAACATATTACTCATTATTTTCTCAGGATGCCGCTTGTTTTTCACCTCCATGTGGCATTGTCCCATTAGGTACCGGAAATGATTTGGCTCGTGTACTGAGATGGGGAGGCGGGTACACTGGTGAAGAGAATCCTTTAGATATTCTGAAGGTAATATTATTCCAAATTCATGTATTATGATTTTATTCGTATATTTAGGATGTTATTGAAGCAGACGAGGTCCGACTTGATCGTTGGGCTGTTGTTTTCCACGAAGAAGAACGCAGTCAACCTCCAAATCAGGTGTGTATTATAGTAAATTCTAAATGAAATCAGAGTGCTGAATGGAATGCTTAATGGTCTCTATGCTTTTAGAGCTCTTGTGGAAATCCTAACGAAAGTGATCAAACAATGAATAATCCTGAAGATCAAACGAGTATGATTATTATGAATAATTATTTTGGTATCGGCATTGATGCCGATGTTTGCTTGAAATTCCACAACAAGGTATTACTTACAACTCTATGATGTCTATTGATTCGTTTGTTTCCAGAGGGATGCCAATCCTGAGAAATTCCAGTCTAGACTTTTCAATAAAACTCAATACGCGAAAATCGGGCTACAAAAAATGTTCTTCGAGAGAACGTGTAAAGATCTATGGAAGCGTATTGAACTTGAGGTTTGTAATCATTCAGTAAACAAATCAAATTTGTTGAAATTCCAGGTAGACGGCAAACAAATCGAGTTGCCAAATATAGAGGGAATTATTATTTTAAATCTTCTCAGCTGGGGTAGTGGAGCAAACCCATGGGGAACTTCCCGAGAAGATGGAAATTTTTCCAAACCGACTCATTATGACGGACTTTTAGAAGTGAGATTACTCAAATTTCTTCTATTTCATAATTTTCTGTCTAGGTTGTTGGTGTACCTGATGTATCAAGGCTAGGATTGATACAATCAAAATTAGCGGCTGGTATTCGTATTGCGCAGGGCGGAAGCGTAAGTTTCTAAGCTCATTTTTAATGCTCAGCATAGCTGCTGTTCCGATATTATTTTATCTGTTTTAAGATACGCATTACCACGCACGAGGAATGGCCTGTCCAAGTTGACGGGGAACCCCATATTCAACCTCCCGGCACTATAACAATTCTAAAGTCTGCTCTTAAGGTACGTTCTTGTTTTGCTTAATAATGTCAGAAACAATTGTGATTGGGTAATGTCTCATAACCACAATGGGAGGGTAATAACCTCGCAGCAGAACATTCGATTTTTTCGCTTTGTTCTCACAAAAAATCGATGCACAATATATCCTGCTTTTGGTTTCTATGTTTTGTATGTGAAGACCACGCTTTGAGTTACTTGGTATTTCCGAGAATAGAGTTTTTCTTTTTGTGAGAGTTCACTAGTGGAACGCAAAATCTGTCTAGCTTGTTTGCGCCATTTTTTCACAGGAACTTACAATTCACGTTTCAAGTTTGATGGAATGAGTTAACATGAAACTTTCTGTATCACTGCTGCTGTACCTCTTTCCCTTATGAAACTTTCGTAATCACTCTTTCACAATCACCTAACACACACTCACATACATTAGATGTGGTGATGTTGTTGTACAAATGAAGCTTAAGCTTTAGTGTCTATAACTATTGGCTGTTCAGGCGCAGATGTTAAAGAAGGCTAAGAAAACGCGGCGTGGTACTACAACGACACCAGTTCCTCGGGCTATCGAACCAACTGGACAGATGGGAGTACCATCAACTTTGGTGGAAACATCTCAAGGCAAAACAACGCCTGAAACTATGGGTGCAGATTCTGACGAAGAAGGAGATGCCTTTCTGTGATGGTGGATTATCGACGTAGCTGGTTGCAGCCCTTACGACGATATTTCGTGCTTTTCTGTCATTTGGATAGATTCTGTGATTACATAGTTCTCAAAATCGTGTTAATATAGTTTGAAAGGAACCCAAAGCTTCTGACCCCTTTAGACAAACCCGGCAGAATTTGTCACAGTCGAAGTTTATGTTCCTTTCCCACTATATTCTCCGTATTTTCCAAATCTTCTACCTTAGGTGCGACAGAGATTATTCTTATTCGATATCGTACAGCTTTTCGTTCGTACCGCATTTGTATTGAGGCATCGATTTCGTTTCCTTTTCTCTCAGTGCATAGCTATCTTACCATCTACGACTAATCATATCTCACCTGACAAGACGCACAACTATTCCATAGTTTTTGTGATTTCTTTCGCATTCCACCTAACGTCGAAGTTTGCCACACATCTTGCCAAGACATTCAGCTCATTGGGTTTTCGTTGTTTCAATATTCTTATTATTGTATTCTTCTGATTTACTCTCATTCTCCATCCGGTCTACATCTTTCGATCTCTCTCCTTCATTTACTGAGGAAGTCAAAGATGTTCTCATGTCACCTCGGTTCGTCCACTAATTTATAGTTCTTTTCAAGTTTGGCCATGTTAGGCAACAGTGTTCCTGTTCTCATTGTACTTACTAAGTAAGATTTCTCGGCCGTGTCAAAGTCAGAAGCATTCATTTCTTGAATGTTATGCATCCACAATCCATATATGTGTATGGAAGAGGTACGCTTCATGCGTAAGCTGCCATCGGCTTTGTGATGTTGAGTTGACGTGAAGATGATGCCTATCGAGGAAAAGAATATTTTCACATTTCCAGCTCCTCATCCTTCAGCCACAGGAAATGATGCCAATTTTTGTGTTCTCCTTATGTTTTGAAGATAGTCTTTGTATTTTTTGGCAGATCTTTCCTCTTTCTTGGAATGGGACGGAAAGGAAACACTTTTTCGTTTTCCCTCTTTAGTTTAATTTGTTTTGCATTTATGGAAGTCGAATGTTATATCCATCGTGGATCTTCCATTGTTCACAATCAAAAATAGACTTATTCATTTTAGAGGATTTTTCTGCTCCTGAGATGGGTTACTTGGGGGCTTTTCACCATTTCTTGGACCGATTTTCTAAAGTTTACAAATTTTGTAAATTTTCGAATCCTTAATATATCAAAAGCTCTGTCGTGTTTCATTTACATCAACGATTAGTTTCAGTGTTCCATTTTTTTGTCATTCTTCAACCCTCTCTTTCTGTTTTCACCTCTCTTTGCCTGTCTCATCTCACCCAAATTGGAAATTTTCAACTTTTTTGCACGTCATTCCCTAATTGAAAGTATGATTCCATGGTATTTTCTAATTCTTTTCGAATTTCGGTGAGCTAGTGTCTGAATACAAAAGTGATGAGAACTCATTGCACCTCTTAACATCATCAGGATGAGTGCTCTTTGTGAGTTTCTCGATCTTGCAGTATTTGATGGAAACTCCTAATAATCTCCCACACCTTCGATAGAGATAGCTAGTTTACTCCAATAAGGATTCTTCCGACTACGCTGTACAAGAGCTAGATTGGAGAAATGCTTAACACCTCTCCTTCTCAGTTTGTATTGATTTATCTTGACTCCGTCTTTCGAAGGTTTTAGAGAATATTTGTTGTATTTAACTTTCCTCTCCACTCATAGTTAACAGAAGCAAAGTAATATGTTAGTATTGTAATTAAAAGGAAAACAAGAAGAGAATTATTTCCATGTATCATAATAAATAAAGATCTATTCGTAATAAATTCATTTTTGAACGTCGCCTTCTTGAACCTCCAGCAAAGATTGCTTATGTGCATGTTCAAAGTTCTCTCGAAAAACTCATTTTCTCTTCAGGCAGCTATGCTCAAAAAACCTTTACGACGACACGGGAAAGTAATTACAAACATCAAAAATCCTGTATTGGCTCCTTTGGCTCATCCAGAAGATTCCACTGATATATCAATGGCTAGTGATGGCAGTCATCTGTTCTCGAGGAGGTTTGAAATACTCTAATAGTACATGAAGAAACGCCCCACTTGCAGATATGTTATCAGTCGGAACATAAGCCGAAGATTAGGGAAAAGCTTGGGAAGGTTTGTTAAAGAGGATTCATCTAAATTCATATGTGACTTACAGATTCGAACGAAGACATTCGTTGGGAAGGGAACGGAAGAAAAGCAATGCGTCTGAAATTGACAAAGAGCATCATTCAGCCGTCGATTTCACCGAACATTCCAGTAATGAGATTTGAACTCCATGCTTACCTATAAATTGATTGTTGAACTTGTTTTATTTTGTCATTTTGAACCTTTGCTTTGTCCTTAGATAACGTTTTTTCTTTTTTTTCTTCTCTCGAGAACGTATACTGATGTGAGGCGGTTACGGAACGAAACATACAGAATTTTATTTTTCTATATCATCCTCTTTTCACAGAATGTTTAATAACTCATTATATCCGATATTACTGTAAAAGGCCAGAACAGAATGAAGATTTGTTCCATTGTTTTGATTTGGGAAACATCCGCTCTCTCGAGCAGTATCGTCTCATCGTTCATATTGATAAAGCGAAGAATGCCAAATGGGTGTTCCCACTTCCTGAACATGTCTATGACGAAGTCAGCTGTGGTTTTCAACGCGCCAGGACACCCCATGCTCAAGGAAACAAGCTGATAATTGGATTAACAGGTTGATAATTTCTTAAAAAATCATTAATTGCATCATATAGGTGATTATATGATTTGTTTCATGATAGCAAACCACCTCGGTCTCGAATTTCACTATACACCTCTGATATCTCAAATCGGCTTTTTCATTATCAGTTACAATTTATAAGCTCTTTTCAGTCTTCTCACACGTTCTTATATCACTCTAGAATGATGGAGATTATTCATAAGTACTCATTCCCTTCTAATTTTTAGTCGAATACCTTCAACGTTTCATATGGTTACTTTCAGAATGTTGTTCGTTCTCTTAGCCTTGGTAGCATGTGCTACGGCTGCCCCACAAGAGGAACGCATTCTGAACTTGCCAAATCTCGTGGAACCCATGAGATCTGCTCAGTATTCTGGATATTTAGATATTGATAACATTAAGTCCTTATATTATTGGTATGTGTATTCGAACCCGATCTATCATACGAATAGAGTTCAGGTACATTGAATCCGAGTCGGATCCTGAGAACGATCCAGTGGTTTTGTGGTTGAACGGAGGACCAGGATGTTCATCTATTACTGGACTTTTTGAAGAAATGGGACCTTACAGGTATAGCACGTTGAAGTTTTTTTTTGAGTATTCTGTATCAGAACGAATGACTATGGAGAAACTGTTCATCGTAACCCATGGACTTGGAATCAAGTAAGCATATAGTGATAATATCTGTACTGTATCGTTCAATAGTATGCCAGCATCATCTACATGGACGCTCCATCAGGTGTAGGATTCTCATTACGTACAGACAATTCGAGCAATTGGAAGTATACTGATGACGAAGTTGCTGATGATAACCACAAAGCTTTGAAAAAATGGTTCGAGGTGATTTGAAACTATCAACATGATTTGATCGCCTTAACACGTTCTTATCACTATGTGTTCTTCGCAACTCACTCCAAACTTTTAGAAATTCCCTGAAAGAAGATTCAATGACTTCTACGTTGCTGGAGAATCTTATGGAGGAACCTATGTGCCAATGCTTTCAGCCCGTTTGGTGAAAGACTCAGATTACAAATACACCTTTAAGGTATGAAACTGTCAAGAGTGATACTATTTTACTTTTCAAGGGAATGATTGTTGGAAACGGATGTGTCGATGATCAACTGAATACAAACAGTCTCGCCAATTTCAACTACTTCCATGGATTCACTGATGCCGTGTAAACTTAGAGTAGCAGTTCATTGCATGTATAATGATTTCAGGCTTTATCGCAACACGATCAAGAAGTGCTGCCCTGATGCTACAATCAACAAGCCATGTGACTTGTACACCATCTTGTCTGAGCCTAACAACACTTGCTACGATGATGTACGATTGAATACTTTTGAAACATGTATACTATTATTCAGGCTGACTACTTGACCAGCGCTAACTTCTATGCTGGAGTAGATCCTTACTTCATTACATACACTTGCTATCTGAACTCTTACGACTCCGTAGATGAGACTGATATGAATTACAGAACCGCAGTATTGAAACGTCATCTTCGATTGACTAGTCCTTCAGTTTTGGAAAAAGTAAAGCTTACTCAGATGATCTTTATCTCATTTTACTTTCACAGAGTGTTCCATCATGTGCTCATTACAACGATTCTGTTGTGTACTTGCAGAAAAAGGAAGTAAGAAACGCCTTAAGAATTCCCGATTCAGTTCCAACATTCTGGTCTTGCAAGTAATAATCTTCTTAGTTTCAACCTACTTCTACATATTCAGCACTGCTGTTGTTAATCAGTATGACTTGGATCCTAATAATCATCACTATCCTAATCAACATGATAGTGTGTTGGCAGTCGTCAATGCTAACATTAGAGTAAGCTAATTTCGTCCCGTGAAATTTTACGTGGAGATGTACATGTTGTTGCGACTCCCGTATTGTTTCATTTTCAATCACTCGACTGTTATACCCGGCTGTGCACTGTACATGCATTGTTTAAATTTATTATTTCTTTCTTTTCAGGTACTTTTCTTCAATGGGGATTCAGATACTGTTTGCAATCATGTACATAATGCTGAATTCATTGCCAAGTTGAATCTTCCAAAGGTCTCGCCCTCATCTATTTCATATAACTTCTCTCTCTCTCTTAGGTTGCCAATGAAACGATTTGGTCTGATAATACACAATTACCCCCAACTGTTGGAATGGTTACCAAATATGAAGGTAAACAATAACTTTAACTATATAGAATATGGATTATAAGCTGTTTGCTCTCTCAGATGACCTAGCTTCGGAAACGTTTTTGTCTCTGCTTCTTATCCGTCGTTCTCGATGTTCGATATGTTTTTCTATTATCTACTTGCCGACCTAGCATTACGCAACAAGACATAATGTCTTGAGTTCGGATTTCTCTGTCTCTCTGTATATCTCTACATCGCTTTCTACTCACTCTACCCCTTCTCTTCTCTAACTACAGTAATTACTCTTTTTGATCAAAAATGACTGCTTTATGTCAACCAAAGAGCATCCTGTCATTACTCTGACCTTCTCATCAGAAATTTCTTTTCTCAGCCTCCTCTATTCTTCGACAGGAGCATTTGTACTGCATAGAGCTGCCGCAGAATCTGCTGACCCAGAAGCCACTTCTCTTACTGTCACAAGACCTCTTTACTCAACTCTCTGTCTCTCATTTCCTCACAGTGATTGACCTCCGCGAGATAATCCCCAGCTCTTTTCTTTCCTCCTATCGCAATCGTACGCACCAGCAAACATTAACGGAAAAAAAAACAAAATATATTGATTTACTTATAATCAAATGAGATCGAATGGGAATAAGTGACATAATGGCTGAGATGATAATCTAGCCTGATAGATATCACAATGTCACTGGCGTCATAATCATTTACCTCTCCACAGATTGCACTGCCCAATCAGTTGAAGACTATACATATTGAGGAATTTGAGAAGTAATTACCAAAACGTTTCAGGATTGGACTTCTTGACCATCAGAAATGCTGGTCACTTCGCTTCTGGAACAGCAGAGAAACCTAAAGAAGCCCTGCAGATGTTCTACAACTTTATCAGGAATCAAGACTACAGCTCGCCTCTACCAATTGACCAAGTAGCCAACGCAACCACAATCAGGCCACCAACGCCGAACAGTACTATGTCCGGCCATTCCCATTGACTTGAAGGTTTGCAGCTATTGGATGCTCAGTATAAACATCGTATTCCGTTTGTTCCAGATAAGAACAAGTTACACTTGTGAATAAAACGTTGAAGCTGCAACACCAAATGTTGGTTTGTCAGCACTGCTTTGCTTTGTAGCTTTATTTTTTCATTTAATAATAAATTAAATACTCTTTAAGAAGGATTGTATACACACCAAGTTTGATGAATGTATACCCGGTGATAATACTAAATAATATCTACCGCAGTAACATCCACGAGACTTAGTGAGCAATATGAGAATAGTAGTGCAGGAAGGCAGAGGGATGCCACCGTTCAGGGCAGTGTGGGCAATAACTTACTGACCACTGTCCCCTCATCTGAATAAGAGGCGGGACGAGAGAGGCGGAGCTAACCTCAAGATTAGAAAGGCTAAAATTTAGGTCAAAATGTACAAAAAATGTACATCTGGCTAAACCAAAGACGAAAATCTTCTATTGGAGCACTTCAGCTAATAATTAGAGCTGATGACGAAGGTAAAATAGGGAAGAAAAGTCGAAGAAGTTATAGGCGACAAAGCAGATTGGATTGTTCGATCCAATACTACTCGAAGTGATAGGAGAGAGGAGACTGAATTGTTGAACAAATGAGTCAATCGCATCCTTATATAGCATTGGATGTCTCCAGAAATGGGCGGGATGACCTAGACCATGAGCTAGGTCAGAAGAAGTGGATGACCATTGGGCAATCTTGCTATTGGCATGGCGGGAAAATAGTTCCCTTTTTTGATGTTAACGACGAATAAGAGGTCAACAGATAAAACGTAAGAAAGATTTATTTTAAACATAGTCGATGTACAACTTATCTTTGAGAAGAGAACGAGATGAGTTAGTGATATTTGAAATCTCACTGAATGTATGTTGGTAGTTATGAGAAACCTTTTGAATCCATTTCATACTTATGGGCAACGGTAGCATTTCAATTTCGTTTCTAGTCCAAGATAACTAAAATGATATAAAAAGTGTTTGAGTATACTATAGATTCTCCTCAACCCTTTTCAGTAAAGCATTTTCGCGTATATGTATGATAGCTTGACGATTGGATGCCAATAACGCAAGTATCAATGCTGTGCCATTAGACATTCTTTCCCGAATTGATAAATATTGCAGGTTATGGCATCTGAAGACAATTTTTATCGATTGCCATCAAACTCTAGGAGGTCATTTGCTCTTCTAGAATAACGAGACTGGAGAGAGTTTAAACGAAGTCACCTTATAAATAGATTAATCAACGGCTTGTCAATGCGATTTTTTACATCGTTTTTTCGTTTAAAACGTTCTAATCCTATTTGGATGAACTTCTTCAAGCTTGTCGCATAGTATGAAATGATCTGAAAGCGTTTACAATAAGATTGAATATTGGGGTTTTCAACCATTTCCGCTAGTTCTTCATCCAATTGACCACAACTTCGATCCCAAACGATAGTCGTTACAGGAGCATTAGGCTGTAGAATCATTTGTTTTTTACATTTGCCTTCAATATGACAATGACTAGACTGCTATAGAGACTTGAATAACCTTTCATGTATAGAGTGATTTGAGTTTTATTATTATTGCGAGCTTTGAATGATCTCCATTGACTTGAATAGCTGTAGTACCCAACAGTCTCATCACATTTTTCATCCTTAATGATTGAGTTTAGCGGAGTCAGTTGTGAGGTTAGCGTAATAGCTTGGTTAAGGTCATACAGAGCGGTTTCGTTATTATCCAAACAATACCTGAGCTATTACGATCTGCTTCAAATACTTCAAATCGGCTAATAGCTCAATAGTCGATGCATTCAGTAAGTCTAAAGAGATCTTAAGGTATCTCAAGTTAACGAACAATCCAACGTGTAAGAACTGATTGTAGAAGTGTTTCGTTATATTCATCAACGATAAATAAATTAATGTTTCCTGGTATGTTTCCAAGACCTCAAATAGAACGCTTCATATGATGCCTTGTTTGGTAGTCTCTAACTTCCTGTAAGAAACGCTCAGCGTCGCTATAATCAAGTTGTAGATCATTGATTTCTAATCGTTTTAAGCCAGATAAGTTATGTAAGAGTTGTGTTAACGATCTAAGTATTTCACCTCCAGTCCCTATTTCCTTTAAAGAGAGTTGAAGAAAATGGAAAATATTCGAAAACAAACTCTCTCTTCCGTATCGCCTCGTCGACTATTCGTTTGAACATGTAGTTTCCAAGAAAAAACAAATTTGCGAACATACGATAATGGATTAACATGATGGAATCTAATGAAACAGATATAAAGAGAAGTTGATAAACAAAATAAAACTTTTCCTGATGTTCACTGAATTGTGATAGTTTGATAATGAATTCATAAAGGTTGAATATGTTCTCGACAGGCTCAAAGATGAGTTCTCTCCATTTCTCAATAAGTAAGGGTATAACGATTCTTAACCATTTTCAAGTCAATTATTGCAATGTAACCAGTTAAACCTTATTCTCATATGATCTAAGGCATATTGCCATCCACTGTGTTGAGTAAATCGTCTTCGAACCAAAAGATGATCGTGAAATACAAATCGGCTCCATGGCTCACGCGTCCAGAACACATAGTGCCAATGACGACAAACCTTTAATCGATATAGCTCATCATTTTTCAAAAAAAAAATCGATAATCATACCTGCGAACATCGACCGCGAGTTTTGATGCTCAATTGGCTAAAAATCCTTTGTAGTATGGTGGTTGGCACATTATTCCATGATAAATCCATTTTATCCAACATTTTTCAATTCTTTGTCAAACAAACTATCGGATCAATCGATTATTACAACGCACGTACTTCACTCAACGTCTTCAGCTTTTTCAAATATGAAATTAGCAAAATTAGCATAAAAAAGGAAAAAAACACTGTGAACAACCGTTAGGCTGCACTAAACAATCAAAATGACTGTAATTTGCATTTACACGTCATTCACGTGGCTTTGGTTAGTTCACGTGTTTCACGTGGAAATTCATATGCAATTCAGCGTCAGCGGAAAGCGGTTGTCTAACCTTTAGCATAAGCAAAAGTTGGTAATTAAATTGGCTTAGAGATTATATTTTCGTTTCTATTTCAAGGGAAGATGAGCCTATCGCAAACCATGGCGAGCACTGTAGCCACACTGGTTCCGTTATTCAATTGTAAATAGTTTGTCTTAACTTCTTCCATTTTCAGGATACCCGAACGTTGATCCGTAAAATCAGAGACTCTGAAACTGGTGGTTTGGAATCTGTTAAGAATGAACATTACTTCCATGGTCTAGTACCGAAAGCTCAAGTAAGAATGAGTGGGGGGTATGAACTTATGATGACGTTGTGACAGACTGCGAAGCTTCTGAAGAAGAAAGGAGATTATCTTGTTCGGCAAGCTCTGCAATCGGAATGTTCGCGTAGGCGAAGTGATGATTCATTTGAGCAATTTATTATATCCGTGAGAACGGAGAAGAATACTACGAAACTAGTAGTTCATATTTAATAAGTAACAACTATGAAGCACATTTTAAGGTGAGGACTGAGGAGATATCGGAAATATGCAAAGACGTGAGTATTGTTTTGCATATTCTATAGTTCATATCCTTTATAGCCAAGTAAAGTGGAATCAGATACTTGTGTTCGACACATTCTTGTCAAATATAGCCGTCGTGAACGTCTATACTATGTTAAAGATTTCGGTTTCAAACATGTTTCTGGTAATGTTTGTGTTTCTGCAAATCATTTTCATGTACTGTTTGAAAGGCTTGATAGACTATCATCAGCGCAAGAAACATCCACTTGATGAAGAGGGAACGCTGTTGAAATATCCTGTAAAGCGAGCCAAGTGGCAACTGAATCATGAACAAGTCAAGAAGTAACTATTCTACCAGGATAACAACAAGTTCGTTCCGCTTAAGAGATAAGCTCATTGGAAGTGGAGCGTTCGGCGAAGTATGGTCTGGTGAACTTCGTCTCGGGATTTTGAGAAAACGGCAAGTTGCTATCAAGATTATTATTGGTTCCATGACTGTGGCTGATCACGAGGGCTTCTTTGAGGTTTTGAGCAAACTCAATTTCGAACTTTGAAATATATTTCTTTGCAGGAAGCTATGCTGATGCATGAATTTGTACACCCGAATGTTGTTCGCTTGCACGGTGTTGCTCTAAACGAGAATCCCGTAATGATTGTAATGGAATTAGCAGAAGGTTTCTCGCTGTCTCAACAAGAAAGTGATAATATGAAAGTGTATTACAGAGAACTCTGTGTTAGATGCTGTTAGTGCATCACGTATAAGAAGAGACAAGAAAGGAAAACCGTTAACTGCTCTACCGGATAATCCGAAACTTTTGAATGTTCGTGGGCCAGCTGATCCCTCAGTCCAAATTCGTACGAAGTTATGTCTCGGAGCAGCTCGTGGATTAGCTTATATCGCAAGCAAAAATGTTAGAATATACTATTCATATAGATATTTGTATCTTTATTTATATATAATATTAAGATTTATAGGTTATCCATCGAGATATAGCAGCTAGAAATGTTCTTATTGGACGTGGATATGTTGCGAAAATATCAGATTTCGGTCTGGGAGTCATGGCTAAAGAAAGACGAGAGAAACGTTTAAATAAAGTAGATTATTTAAATATTAAATATCAAAAGATTATATTTGAATGTTACTGTTGTAGGTGCCTGTTAGATACTTATCGCCAGAGACGCTCAAGAATGGAAGTTACACATCAAAAACGGATATTTGGAGTTTCGGAGTATTTTTGTGGGAGGTTGGCAAGAGTCAAAACAACATAGATTGTTTCGTAAAAGGTTTTTCATGATGGATTGGAGCCTTATTATTCGATCGATACATCGGCAGAGATAGTGAAGTATGTAAAGCAAGGCAATACACTACCCAACTCATCAGAGTTCTATCCTGAATCGTTATGGCTACTAACGACGGTATGCGATTATGATTTATGATGATTATGGTATTGTTTGCATTTCAGAAATGTTTCCAGTTCAACCCTGATGATCGTCCGACAGCTTCTGCTTGTGTTGATGTTATAAGTCAAGAATATTCCAAATATAAATGGAAATTAAGTAAGAACGATTTAACATTTATCCGATCGAAATTCACAAAAAAATGAAGATTTCTCTTTTTGTGTGTGCAGTTGCGCCTTTGCCATCCAAAATGAAGTAAAAAAATAAGAAAAACGTCAGTTCATCGCTGGATTTATCTGGAACAAACCATGTTTCAATAATTTCCTTTGATGGTGTTGAGTGCTTACTTGTCTAGGCTTCATCTACTTGCCGAAACGAAGAACTCCTGGAACGCTTTTTTTGTACAAAAGCGATGCTTCATCTTCCATTTCCAATGCTCTCTTACCAAATCTTGAAGGAATGATGCTTAGTCATGACATGCTGGATGATGCTGCTTACCTTAGAACACCAGGTATTTCACGTTTACCAAATCGTAAAACTCCAGGTACTCCTCGCTTTCCAAACCTAAGCACTCCCGGAATTTCTCTTTTTCCGAAACGAAGAACTCCAGGCATATCACTTGCTCTCTTGCCGAACCTAAGAGGATTTGCACTTTTTGAAACTTCAATTCACTTTATGGAATACCGTAAAACTCCTGGAATGTCATCTCGTTTTCCAAATCGAAGTACGCCAGGAACACTTTTCTTCTCGTTTTCATAGGCTCTCTTTCCGAATCGAAGAACACCAGGCATTTCCTTTTTCTGAACTCCTTTCTCCTCTTCATCAGCAAATGATCGTTTTCCAAATCTCAGTACTCCAGGCATAGAGCCATCAATGTCTGCAAGATAATTGCAAAATGAGATTAGAGTACAGGAACATCTGCTTTACCTCGTTTAGCATAGATACGAGCTTCAGGTGACATTTGACTCAACGCTTCATACAAGTCTTCTTCCGTGTAACCTGCAATGAGAAAAGAAAGTATTTTGCGTGTTCTGCAAGTTGTTTGTTTGAAGAAAAAAAAAGATTTTCTGTTTCCCTATTAACACTTCGCGAATTTCTATTAGTATCATGTGCTTTTAACGAATTTCAGTAACAACACATACACGCAGACACACACCCATGCCCAGACACACACGAAGAGAGAGAGAGAGAGAGAAAGAAACTTTCTCTCCTATTGGAATCTCTTGGGACATGAATTCATTTGCACACACACACACACACATAACGCTTTTTTTAATTTAAATAAGGTAAAATATAAAATATTTATAGTTAATGAACTAAACTATTCAGATTTATTACAGCCGTTGTGTGTTTATCTTCTCTCCGCACCCACAACAACCTCTCTCTAAACGCGTTTCCGCATTCTTCTCCAACTTCCAGCTTCATGAGACTTTTGGACAACTTTGTTTTTCTTTATTGTTTGGGGGAAAAGAAAAGAAACTTTTAGAGTTTATGCGATCTGTAAGAGTTATGATGGGGAATGGACAGATCTGTCTGGAGAGTGGAACTCGAAGCTTGAAGAGGATTTCTTTGACAAGTCAAATGATGCTAATAAAAAGAAGAGAAAGAGTTAGCTTGGGAGAAAGTTTTTGTATAAAATCTGTCGGGAATTTCAGAAAAAACTCAAATACAGCAGTTTATGGAAATTTGACAAGTTAAGCCCAGCTCTTGGAGAAATGCTGATGAATGTTGAGTGATGACGTCAGTTGAAGAAACTTTTCGGATGCGCCCGTTGTAGGAGATGGAGGGAAAGACAAAAAAAAGAATCCATGGTACTCAGGCAAGTGTGCATGTTTGATTGAAATTCGAAAAATTACCTTGGGAGTCGACAACATTGGCTACAGAAAGTGCCAGCAAAAGGCAAAGCTGAGCCGCATTGTACGGCATTGGACCCTGAAACTATGGAAATGTGAATAATTAAAGAGAAGAAAGAGTTTCAACGTAGCAGAAACGAATACACAAGAAGAGCATTGGATGAGGAGAGAGAATCAAATAGAGAATGTTAAACATGGTTCTGAGTTGCTGGCAAGCGTTGATTGTGAAAAATGGACGAAAGAAGAATCAGCCCAGCCTTCTCATAGAGAACTGAGAGCTGACCTTATCCGCCCACCCCCATCAAGCTGAACTTCGATTTCAGAATTTATTTGTTAAAATATGAGAAAAAGAAATCCTCGAAACGCTCATAATACAAATGGAATAAACACATATGTTTTCAAACTTCGCGAGCACTTTATGCAAATGAAGGCAGTTAAAGAAATATTTTTTTTCTTCGATACTTCACGTAACGTCTCAAACGTCAAACGCAGGTCATTTAGTATCACGTCGACGATACAGAGCGGTTGAATCGTTTCTTGTTGTTCAAGCGACTCCTTCGTTACTTATATCCTCATTGCAGTCATCTTTTTCTCTCTCTCTCTCTTTATCTATCTCTCTCTCTATGTCTCTCACAACCCAAATGTGGACCTTTCTTTATCTGAGAGGGAGGGAATGGAATACTCCATTGCGGAGCAATTTAACAGGGAGATTCTTCTCATTTGATTGACTAACAAATCTTGTTTCCAAAATGATTTTATTCATCAAATTGAAGAAAAAAAAGAAGAAGATGACGAAAATGGAAAGAAGGAGAAGACGAGCATGATTAGAGAGAACCTGGCGATACGAATCGTCTTAACAAGACGAATACATCAAACTACTCACCAAGAACAAGGATAACAAGACTATTATTCTAAAAATGAACTTTGAAAGGGTGAAGAAAAGATTTCTTTGACTTTCGCTTTCAATTGGTTCGCTTAGAGCCAAAACTTTGTTTTGTTGTCTTTCCAAAAGACATCAACAAAACAACAAGTAAGCTTGTTGACTTACATGCCGGCTACGGGAGATGGGATGAAGGGAATCTTCATTGGGATTTGTATTAATTCAAGGAATGGAAGTATACACATCTCTCTCTATCTCTCTCTCTATCTCTCTCTCTCTCCAACACTCTCTCTCTCTCTTAATAGCTTCATAATACGTCCAAAAGCTTTATTAATTTACCTAACTATGTGTTTATGGTTAACATATCCTGAAAAGGAAAAGAGCTTGAGCTTAGAGACTGAATAAAAGTAAAATGATGGAGAAGAAGCTTTTAACTTATTGCTACACAAGCCCAACCCTCCTTCATCGTTTAACTCCCTACCTCTCTCCTTCTTTTCCTGTCTCTCTCTTCTAAGGTTGTACCTCTCTTCATCTTGACAAGCAAATAGAACGATTCGCTTTCATATCAACTCTTGATGAGCAATGAAAATCGACATGTTGACGTATAAATTAAAAAAAAAAGTTATTCTAAGCTTCCTAGCCGAATGATCTGAAGCTATTCGACAACATGTCGAGCATTGCCGAGTTCTCGTTTTATTTTTGAATATCTGTGACAATCAGACGATAAGCAAGATGAAGAGATGAGATGATGTCAGGGTGACATTCAAACTCGTGAACGTTAACAGAACGTTGGAGTAAGAGTAGAAATAAGATAATGAAAAGCGATAGGATGAAGTAACTGGATGGAAGCCCGAGATGTTGGAAGAGGTGTCGAGGATGAGAGGATGTTTTGAAAGTTAATCAGTCTCAGCTTATATATATAGACATGCTCATGTACTTATAAAGCAACTTGTTTCAAATATTTTTTTCCGCTCTCTCTCTCACTCACTCTCTCTCTCTCAACTCGCTAACATCTCGGTCAGAATGTGAGCTTTCGAAGAAGGAAGAGTGTTGGCATCTAGATGAAATGGCTTCTTTCTTCAAATGTTTGCTGTGAAAAACAACAAAGAGTTCAACGAAGAGATAAGAAAGTTTATAAAGAACGTTTTCCTTTGGAAGCCTTTCAATGCCAACTTTACTCTTTCAAAAACAAAAAAGATCTGAAGAGAAGGCACATACGCACAGTCGGTCATTGGATAGTTGAACATCAGATGGATGCCGACAGACGGACATCAGTCGTGAATTGCCAAAAGAGCATGATAGATGAGTTAGAGGAAGGCGAGAAGCTGTAATAGGATGTTTTGAACGATTTGTGGTTTTGTCGTTATTAGGTATCAATCCGTTCTCTCTTACAGCCTCTTTTCCTCTTACTTAACGTCTCCTCTCTCTCTCTCTCTCTCTAACTATCTCTCTATCTATCTCTCTGGTAGGCTTAAACGAATTTCATGAAGTGATTTCTAAGCTCTTCCAGCCAACGATTCTGATCTTTATCGTCTTTTAATTGAGTTTCAAAGAAATGTAGAGCTTTCTTCTAAGAAATAGGTTATAACTTTTGACCTGACGGGAAGTTGGAAACGGAAGTTGGCAACGAACAGGAAACTCAAAAAGGTTAAAGGAAACTCTTATTCATCTCTGTTCACCTTAAAATAGCATAAGGATAATTCATGGAAACACGTGGTTGGAGAAGCAATGTGCCAGCTATCGTAACATACACCAACATCATGAACGTACATATAAGGAGATGAATGTACGAGAGAGAGAGAGAGGTGAAGGGAAGGAAGCACGTACAGCTCACAACGCATGAAACGACAATGAGACATGCTGATGCGACTGAGGTGAAATAAAATAAAAAAAAAGAAGAATTTCTTGGAAGAGATGTGACAAGATGTCAATTGACTTTCCAATTTCATTAAAACTTTAACGTGACGGGTACATGAAGGAATTAAAAGGAAATTTTATCAGAAAAAATGGCAACAAGACGGATGTTGACAAGTTATTCGTGGAATTTACGGCAAAGGAGGACGTGGTGGAAGCTAGAAGGAGAAGGAGAAGAAGAAGAAGTAGAAGTAGAAGCAGAAGAAGCGAAACGAAGCTGATGATGGAGAAGAAATAAAATAAAATAAAAAAAGAGGAAAGATAGATAGTAAAAGGCCTTTGCTTATTCAACTTTTTGAGCTTTACGAGAGGAGAAGCTCAGCTTGAACTCAAAATCGTCTTGTTCGCTTGCCATCTCTTTTAGATGATGTCACATAGGGACCTAAGGGAGTATTCAATTTGAATGAGAAAAGAAAAGCAAGTAAGTGAGGGGGAGTAAGAAAGGATGAAGCTCAAACTCTCCTTCTCATACTCCATCTCCTTCTTCTTCTTCTCCTTTTTTCCAAATATAATATTAAAAGACAATCAACACACAACGCCAAAATCTCATCAACTTTTATTTTTTTTCGGTTTCAAGACCTTCTGCTCATCCATAATTCAGATGAGTTCGCTCTTCTGATGGTTGTCCTTCATCTTCATCTTCTTCCAAATTCTCTCAAAATTAGTTGAATTGATGACGAAAGTGGGCTGATTGACGGAGAAATGCTCATCTCGTTACTTGTACTCAAAAATCCCTTGTAACTAACGGAATTACCTAAGATAAAATAGGAGATTGAATACTAAAAATAGATGGAAACACATGAATTCATTGATAAATGGCTTTTCATCCCCTCAGGGCATATGTGGATTCGTTCATAGATGAAGTAAAATAAAAACGAAGACGAAGATGAGTAGTTGAGGAATGAGAGATGGAAGAGGAGTGGGAGGAGGAGGATGACGACGACGACGATCGTTTCACAACTGAATTTGAAAGGTAAATATGGAAGTCACTGAGAATGACGTACCCAATAAGGAAAATCCAAATTATATTATGGTATTGGAATGGTAATAGAAAGCAAAAACCTCATTCTCTATCTATCTCTCTCTCTCTCTCTCTCTCTCTCTCTCTCAGACAATCTCTCACATTCACTCTCTCTCACTCACATCTCGTCTTCTTCTTCATTCATTTTCTCACAACCGTTCATGACGTCGCTAAGCTTATAAATGAATTTCTCCGTCCTCCCTTTCACGTGGATTTCACGTCAATTGTCTGGAATAGAATAGATCAGAAAGTGGTTTCGTCAACGGAGAGAGACTAATGGACTCTGCTTTAAGGTAAAAATGGATATTCAATGAACCAAATATAGAATAGTTTGAGAGTGATGAAAAACAACAATTGACATCCCATGGGAATCATTCGATGGATTCTATGAATTTGAAGAAAATAAATAAGATGACTTGGATTGTGAACTTCAATCCATCCACCAAACTACAAACTAGATGATCTCCTTTTGATCTACAGTATGTGAACAACTTGTTATGATCATGCAGTGTATGTGTGTATGTGTGGGCAAAGAAGTTGTGTACAACTTATGTGAACATCATCTTCTGATGTTGTAGCTGACGCTTCCTTCCCAGTACCTGTGTACTCTTCATCTTCAGGAAATTCATTTTTGTTCTTTAACATCTAGCTATTTATGGATTGCAATCAGAGATAGATTCTTGACTTCTAATACTCATAGGTTCTAAAGACAATTCGTTCAGAAAGCTTTTCTGTTCATCTTGTGCAGACGCCGTGAACTTATAAGGTCGCAACCAACGTCAGCCCTTCCACTTGATCGAAGCTTATTCCGTTTAAGAAGCTCTTGATGTTACCGACCACAAGAAAACTTCTGTAAGACACATCAAGTAAGTAACTGAAAGAAAGGGAGGTAAAGCCAACTCCGTCATCACCATGTTGTTGTTTCCCAAAATGTTTTTTTTGTATTTTCAGAGACCGAAATTGGGTATTACGAGTGTGTGAACGGCCTAGTCGACAACTTGTGACGAAGGTGATGAAAGAAAAAAAATTTTTTTTAACATGTTATCCATACATTTCAACGTTTATTCTATTTAAGTTCAGGAAATGCTTGAATAACATGAATATGGGAGTTTGCAAAAGTCATTTTCCCAATAAGCTGTTGGAGAGAAACGTTTTGAGTTTCAAGTAATTGGAGTACTGTGGAGTGTATGTCTATGTCTCTGTCTAGGTATGTCTAGGTATGTCTGTGTGTGTGTGTGTGTGTGTGTAGGTTAGAGTCTATAGGATATGAAGCTTTGCTCTCTCTTTTGGAATAATCACAGGTAAGCCATGATGGTGATTTGTGATGAGATTGTAGATGACTTGTAAGTGAAGTTGATGAATGAAGGAGAGAAGGCGAGGGAAAGTCTTTCGATTAATTCCCTGTGCCCCCTGTCATTGTTGTTTTGCATAATCTCTCATTATATATGTTTGTATATGGTGTTTATTCAATATTATAAAATCTGATCGTTGATCAACAGCTTCATTTTTCATTTTCTATCATTGGGGTGGTGGGGGTGAAGATGGGGTAGATGGTGAAGAGGCAGCAGAAGAAGAAGAAGAGTTTCTTATTTGACTTGGATGTCAATCAAATACAACTTTAATTAAGAGAATATATGGAAAGTAAGTAAGTAGACTGCTGGATGGATGACTCGCCTCCCTTCTTCACATATCTCATCTTTGAAATTAAAAAAATGCATATAAAGATGTTAGGACAACGACCAATAACATGTAACGGCTGCTGGGCGAAGCTGGAATCGGAGAAATTAAAATGTTGAACGCAACCGCAGTTCCACATCAATTTAAATTGAAAATGAAATTGTCAGCTATTAGTGTTAAGCGCATGTGCACATGCTAATTTATACTAATTATATCAAAATGAAATACCATTATCTTCAGCTCCAGGAAGTAGAGCTGTACCATTTCTAGCTACACATTGGCAGGTGAAAGCATTCGTTTGGAATGTTTTAGGATTGACATCAAGAATTTGAGTTCCCTAGAAGAGATGTTATGGTTGTACAGATTGGATGAGATAGTCAGTTGGTTACATCAAATGCTCCAATCGTCACATTACAGTCAGGGTTCGTTCGATTGGAGGCAAAGGTGATTGTTCCGTCTCGAGCTTTCCAATTCCACGTTGACGTACAATTATCTCGGAATAAGGCAATAAACATTCGACGATTGGTCTGCAAATAATCTTTTATGGAACTGACACATGTAAGCATTTGATGATCTCCATGACAACTGGCATGTTCTTGAAAGTTTTTAATTTTCTTTTCTCATACTTCTTTCACAGTGTTTATCTACCGATGAAAAGGAAATAACAATCCTACATTTCTTATCTGTCTTTCTAAGTATGTCGTAGCTAGAGTAGCATTTGGCAAAGCAGACAGTTGGCAGTAAGCTTAAATGGGAGTTGGATGAGCTTACATGCTAAGCTAGAAAGTTCTCACCGTTATAAGATTTGTTTGCCCATGCCTGTTCGCAACGAGGGCCGACATTCTGCATCGCAAAGTGTTATGAAGATTGAAAAATAGAAAGCCCACTCACTTCAACAGTATTGTTGTCAGTTACATCGAAAGCCATATGACAAGTTTGGTTTGCATGATATGTAGTAGCCAGTGTGGTAGTTGTACCAAGTTCCACACAATGCTAAACAAGAGGTAATTAGATAATCTGATTGTCAAAGCCATATATAGCTTTACCTTACAGAAATAGTCGTCGGAATTACATTGGGTCTGAGAATAAATAGAACATGGAATGAATATGCAAATCGCCCATACAAGATGTATGCATCTCATGGCTTTTGTTGATTTAAATGATTTCGGTGATTAGAATGAATTTTTCAATTTTCGTGTTTGTGGGTGGAGTTTTATGAAAAAAGGATCGCCATGGCAACTTAGAGATTGCTATAGCCTTAATTGGATTTGTTATTATCACAGTCTCTTTGATACTTTAACATATGCAAAGTTGGATGGATGTGTTGGTCGACTTGTATGGCTCATCTTCATCTCATTCTACATCTCACACACACACTGCTGCCATTCCAAAACACAATAGTTGAGAAGTGAATGAATCATTTGAGAATTGGGCAGTGATTCGTCAACTTTCAATTCTAATCCCAGATAGCACATGTTATGACGAGTTCTCATTCTCACCCATTTTGATATAGTTAGCAAGGCCATGGATAGCATTGCATGACGCCGAAAGGTTTTCCGAGAATTCCTTCATTGTACTCCATGATCAGATCAATTACATTAGGAACTTGAATTTGTCAGACAGCAAGCAACATACAAGGATAATGATATCACATAATCACTCCCCCCCCCTCCCAAAGTCCAATTTGGTCTTACACGGAAATGGATGTGTATGGTATTGATGGTGCATAATGTCGTCTGCCAAACTCTATCAAGTTTTTGAAGAATGATAGATGTTAAGATGATTAACAAAGCAAAAACGTTTTTGATTTCAATTTTTCAAAATCCAAACTGACATTTGCGAAGAAAATTTTTACTTTTTTCATTTTTTGCTAATCGTTTTGAACAAAAAAAAACATTTTGTATACCAGTTCTTGTGCGGCCGGCTGTCCGTCATAGGTTTGAAAAGGACAACTCTTTAAAGGAAAGAGTCCTTAAAAGGCATGAATCAACACTTTTAACTGTTATTCGAGATGTTTGAAAAAAGATTCTTTTGATTGAGAACATTCCTTTTCAGACGTGACGATGAGAATCATCATGATCATCAGAATCATCAATGGATGGTTGCGGTTAGTGATGAGAAGCTGCTACATACCTTGGGTCAGCCGTAACCATTGAAGTGAACTGTACATGAACTATCAGTCAGGGATGTTGAACACGTAAGATGTCTTGTGCTTCTCTCTCACTCTCTCTATGCATACATGATAGAGAGATCTCTCATATTATTGGAAAGGTAACCTCGATTGTCTTTAATTTCTTTAACATTTTTCACATTCTCCAACTGTCATATGAATTATTTTATCAGGACAAACAAGTAAGGCGACATTCGAGCAAATATTTGAAAAATTATTTTATTTTGTCTTCAATGATTCATATATATATTTCAGAGAAGAAGACGTTGAAGACAATTCTTGGCTAAATAATTGCAAATCTCCCCCTTCTGACACTAGTTGACGTCGCGATGCCAACACTGTTGACGCGAACTGTAAACGTGCCAAATTCATTTGCAATCTCAGATGGCCGAAGAGCGGTTGATTTTTCTTTCTTCAGTCTTCCTTCTTCTTCTTCTTCTTCTTCTCCTTCTCATCCATTTCATCTTGAAAGTTTGTAGAAGTTGAGTGTTGTTTAGAAACATTTGATAGAATTTTGATGCTGCTGCTGATGAAAAGCATCCATTCATCATTTGCTTTCTCTCACCTCTGATTCATCACATAATGTAATTATCTAATTCTGTTCCACTCAAATAATCCAGATAGATCTCTTTCCCTTCAACTAACTATACAAAAATATTTCGTTTAAACCATATGTTTCTCTCTCATTGCCAATGTCCCCTCCCCCCCATCTTTCGCGCTCTCTCTCTCTCTCTCCTTTTTCTTGTTAAACATCATGTTGTTCTTCATTTCTGAAACAACAATCATCCATTTCCAACAAAATGTTAACGTCGATTGTGCATTGTCGACCTTCTGATGTCCACGTGACGTGTGTGGCCAAAATCTCTTTCGGGGTCTGTTTATGTGCCATCTCCTCCTTTCTCTTACTACCATGTCCTTGTCTGTTTTCTCCTCCGAAAATCACCTTTGAACCTCTTTCCATCCTTTTTTTTTCAACCATTTCATTCCCCCCCCCCCTCTCTTCACTTCTCTCTTTTCTCTCTCTTTTTGTCTTTCCCGATACCCTGTTACCCTATCGACCTTACATGTGTCAGCTGGCATAGCTGTAGATTTAAATTGTCCTTGAAATCATCTAATTTCTCTTTCATTCTACCTCGAATTTAAGTCATTTAGCCTAAAAATTATCCATTTCTTCATGATTTTATAGGGCAGAGGACAATCCTGATCTTCTATTCTGATAAGAGAGACCTACGCCCTTCCTGTACATTTATACGAGAGAGAGAGAGAGAGAAAGAGTGAGAGATGAGGAGAAGTATCTTCATTGAGACGGTGATAAAGCTTGGAGGAGAAGCTTGATGTAGACCATACTCGGTCGTCTTCTGACACTTCTCTCTCTCTCTCTCTCTCTTCCTTGCTACTTCTCCATGTTGCAACTGTGCACAGCCTGTAAGCTTGTGATATTCAATATTGGAATTATTGAAATCTGTTTGATGAAGAAAACATGTTGATGTGCTGAAGATGATACTCAACAACTGGTTACAATCGTTAAAATCACATTAATGAATTGAATTAAGCGAAATTAAAAAGTTGAATTTGGCCTCTCATCAAGTAAGCAATCAAAAGCTTTTTTTTCTATTTTTCTTCTTGCATTCCTAAATCAACTGTTTCTTTGTTCTTCTCCACAGTTTCAATGTTTTGTGTGTATGGGCAGACGATGAAAACAAAGTGGCAGTTTTCCCCTTCACCCCGCTTTCTTCTATTCACTTTCTCTTCATTACAAGCTTTGAAACAAGATAATAGCTCTTTGTATATTAAACATTCCATGAAACAACTATTTGATCTTCATCAACACCTTCTTTACATCGTCTTCCGATGTTCAAACGTCAATCGTTCATCAGACAGTCTTCACTTCCTGTCTCTCTCTCTCTCACCATCTCCTTATACATGCGTTGTCTAGATGTTATAGTTAGCACTCTGTAGTTCAATCCCCATCACTGTCAGTTACTTTTTACTGTTCACACCTCTCATTCGAACAAAAACTTTTTTTGTAATTTTAATCGATTAATTGTTGTTTGAATGTCTGACTGGTTAGTTGTAGTTGTCTCCATATATGGCACATCATCATAATCGTCATCAATATCCTTCTCTCCTCTCCTCTTCGATTACAAAAATCTTTTTTTTTCTATTTTTAATATTTATTTATTCTTTTTCAATGCATTCATATGTTTTTTCCCTTCTTATCTTTCTCCATAAAATCATCAATTACCTGTTCATTTGCATTTTCAACCATTTCCAAACTTGATTTCCATCTCCTCTCTCCCTCTCTCTCTCTATCTCTCTCTCTCTCTCTCTCTCTCTCTTAGTCTACTCTTCTTCTTCTTCCCCTCTCCTTCCTGTCATGCTGTAGAAAAATGAAAAAAAAAACAAAAAGACAAATAAAATGTCTTTTTTTTCTTCCTACTTTGGTTCTGTCATACACATTCCAACTGTTCTTCTACTTCTTCTCCACCTCCTCCTTCTTCTTCTTCTCATTCTTCTCCTTCTTCTTCTGATGATTCAATTGATTCTGTATTTGGAAAGTTCTTAAATAAAAGAGGAGGTGCTAAAGGGAGGTGACGATTACCTTTCTCTATTCGATTTTCCGTCTCTCTTATCGAGACCCTTCAGAGAACGACGTTGTCGTCTGATTGTGATGAGGCGACAACGGCGACGCCTTCCCACGATGTCCCGAACGATGCCACCGACGACCACAAGCCCGACAAAAGCAGACAAAATGATCGTCTTTAGTGGTGTAACAGAACAAGTTGGGCACAAGGCCTTACAATCAACAATGCCAATATCAATTCTCGTTTCCCTTAAAGTTGTGTCCTCTTCATATTCTTACTTTCTCGAACTGTATGTTCGGAAAGCTTTTGATCAGAGGTAGAATCCGTTTCCCTTTGGCGGCTTCATCCATGTGATCACAGGCTGTTAGGAGCCGACATAAAAAGTTTTTTTTTTCAAAAAATGGGTGAAGGTATGTGATCTTCTCCCTATTTCCTTATTGACATCATTTCAACTCATCACATGGTTCTTCCAAGAAACAAAGTACAAAACCTGAATTTTCCTGTTTTTCCTATGTGTTATAGGCAATGGCCTACTTGTAACATTTATTTTTCATTTTTTAACACATTTATCTTGTAAGCAAATCTTGGTCTGCTAGAAGCTTCCTATCGCCATTTCCTCCTCCAGCTGCCTCATCTAGAAGAGCAACTGGTTTTTGTTTTTTTTCTTTGCGAGCCTATTTACCTTTTCAAATTCGTAGTTGAAAATGCATCTGCCCTCGTATCCATGCTTCCTGTTTCAGTTCATAACAAATGGATATCGCCTCCACCTTTGATCGAGAACCATTCCGTCATACGGATCCAAAATATAAATGTTTATGTGGACTTAGCCATGTGAAGGTTCGTTATTGATCAACTAGATTACCATGTTTGGATGTAATCTGCTTTCTAATCATCTTTATTAAAGAAGGGAACAATGTACATAGCCGCTGCCTGTGCAACCATTGTCAGTATCTTCTTGATTGGCATACTGTTGGACTTCGAGTAAGTCAGACCTTGTACTCCAACCTCTCAACGTCCATTTTCAGAGATCAAACTTGGACATGCATAATCGCATCTTCTTTAGTGTTCGCTGTGACAATTGCAGCAGTTTTCTTAATCTTCTTGGCAAAAAAGAAAGAAAACGAGAAATTCCTTCTTCCCTTCTTAGCACTCATGGTAAATCACTTACTTCATTTACTTTTCTATCCCCCCATAATAAGTTATTTCATTCACAATTAATAACAATTAGGTTCTTTATATGGTTGTGGCGGTTGCCGTCGTTATATGTGGAATTTGGTCGTTGATTGATCCCGAATCTGGTCCATTCAAAGGCACGATACTGCATCCAACAAATGGAACACTGGCTGGAGATGCCGATGAAAGTTTAAGCCATCACACAGGTTTCTAGCGCATGCCTCATCACACCTCTCGTATTATGTATTTCAGGGCAAACAGTAACATCAGCCTTCTTCATCGTAGCTAGCTTAATCATTGTAGCTCTTGCTATCTGGTTCATATTCGTCGTTTACAAGTATTACATATACATCAAAGACATGAAGAATGCTCGAAATCCTCAGAATGTTGTTTACCACGAGGTAAACACATTAAAGAGAGAAGTCAAGCAATAAAGCAAAAGCTTAACTGGCTTTAATCTATAACTATCTATTACGTTTTCGCTTCACTTGACCGTCATAACTTTCAAATTTGAAAAAAAAAATGAAAAAACATATTTTACTATCAAAAAATGACTTGAGAAAGCTTGCCAGAATGCAATAATCAAAGCAAGTCACATCTTTCTATTGTTTAACAACTTATCAAAGACAGAAGACAAGAGACTGTGTACATAACTGTTCATAAATTTCTTTTTTTAAATTTTGTTTTTTTGCTTTTCATTGATTAGTTTGAATATAATTCTCATGAAAATGAATAAATTTATGATCTTTTCTTTAGATTCTGCAGCAAATGAGAAATCAAATATACAATCATATAAACTATATACTATACTATATATATATATATAATGGAATTGAGCACCTGTTTTCATATTATTATTATTATTAAGATTATAAGAAGATGATGTTGCCCTTTGACTGTTGGCACCAACTACACGCACACATACAGACATTGACACTGACAGAGAGAGATATAGAGAGAGAGTCAGAGAAAGAGAGAGAGGGAGATAGAGAGGGACCATTTACAAATCATCATCTGTTATATTGGCAAATGCTGAATTATGCAATGGTAAAGCATCCTATAATCATTGACAGATTATAATCATTCTATAAGTATACACTTACTGAGATTGTTGTAAACATATCATTTGATGTGTCATACAGATCTGCAACACCTAGAGGATCACCACGATCTAATGATGATGTTTCTTCAATGGATGTTATGGCTGATTTTGCTGACTGAAATCATATTATTACATTCATGTCTTTATCTATTATTAGTGTTCCAAACAGATTATGCTAATTAAGTAGTTGTACGTGGCGTTCGTGTCAATTTCAAAATTCATTTGTACTTGTTGTGCACGCGCTGACCGGTTGTCAATGATGACGCACAGAACGGTTGTTTTAACATTTCATTTTTCTCTTTTTCGTATAAATTTACACCTCCCACACCCATTTTTGGAACATCACATCATTCTGTCCTTTCACATTATTACAGAGGACAGCTTTTTCTTTGAACAGAAGAAAGGAAAACTCACACGTAAACTATAAATGGAATGTGAAGAAGTCTTCCGTTCAGTTTGACTAGAAGTGTTTGGCATAATATTGGTTTCTGCAGAATTTTTCAATCATTTTTAATCAAATCAAAGTCATTCAAACCTGTTTCAACAAAATCATCTTCAGGAACACTCAATGTTGGCTTTAGAATTAGTGGAGCTTTGGAAGGTTCCAGAAACACTGACATGCCGGAGCCACCACCGTTCGTCATGAGTTGTTGTTCAATCTTTAATATTATTTTAATAGGATTACCCGATGAAATATTTACTTACCGACATGTTTCGATGCTCCTGCAAGATTTCCGTTCCGACACATTGAAGCAGAAGACTCAGGATTATTGCCTTAAGAGGAATACACTTGGTTGTTAGCAATGATAACGCTGGATTACCTGATCAGTATAGAGAGTGACCCATTCAAAGTCATCTTTTGCCATCAGGTACTCGAATTGGAATATCTGTAACAGTAGTTTCAGATTTGATTTTACGATGTTACGAGTTACCATTGGTCCGTCCTCTTCCGGAGGGCTTATTCTCCAAACACGAATGCGGGTCGCTCTGTATATAGCCTCTTCCTGTAATCAGAAATGAATAGATATGATGGACATGATTTGAATGCAAACCCCATTCTCAAATCCGAGCACTAACTGCCTTCTTCCTATCTTGATTGAACACCTGGTATTTGGTCTTGGATTATCAGAGAAGCAGTCAGCAAGAATTTCATAGGAATATGAAGGTTGTAAATGACAAAGTCGTAAGAACTTGAATAAAATAAATTACAATTCGACGAAGCTTTTCCAGCAAACCTGAATATGATCTTCGTTCTTTTCACAACTTCGGAGACGATCAACGATATCTGAACGTACAGCTTCAAAATTGCCGACTAGAAAATCATTTTTCGCCTGAACCACATTGATAAGAGTAGGAAAACAGATGCTGAATTACTTGTTTGTATAATAGTTTAGTGAGAGTGCTATCTTCAAAGAGAGCTTCTTCTATTCGTGGGTCCCAAATCAATTTTCTAAGAACCAACTTATGATGTATGCCATGACCCGTCGATTTCATGTTCGCCGTTTGTAAGCTTATATAAGGTGATTCGAAATTCCGTAGAAAACGTACACCTAGAAGTTTAGATAAGCAAGAGAAGATAACATTCAAAACCAACAAAGGACATTGAAATCAATGCCATCCGTGTCTTTGGGACAAGCCATAAACAATCCGAAGTTCCATAAAAAGATTTCAGGGTCCTTAATGCCCAGTTGATCGGATAATTGCTGCAAGGTGATGCCATTGAGAGATGTGAGAGCGATAAACTTACTCGTAAGACAACATTAGTAGGTGAATCGATATTACATTTAACGACTATACGTTCTCCATCTCCTAAATAGATATCGACGGATACATGAGTGCTTGTAGTTCGGAAGAAGTTCTGAAAAAGAATCATTCAGAGTTCAATTAGTTAGTACAAGAACAAGGGAGAAGCTTGTAAAGCCTTTTGTTTTTGTTTGTTTTTGTTTCTCTTCAAACAGTCATGGAACAGGATATTCGCCTAATTCATCGAAAACATCAGATTTATATTTAAAACAAATTACAAACATAGATTAACGAGAAAGAGAAGAAGAGAACAAGGGGAGAAGCAATCGATACCGAAACGAGAACTTACCACTTGAAGTTCCAAAAACTTTTTTTCTACCAATGAACTCCGTATGATATCTGTGTTCTGGACCACTGTGAGGAACGAAGCTATTATGGAAGAAGGGAGGAAACAACTCACATGTACTCAGATACTTCGAAATTTTGTTTCGACGGTCTTCTATCTGCTTCTCATCCAGATGAAACAGTTTTTTGGGAGGAAAATCGGGACCATTGTACTTTGAGCCAAACCTGTAACAGTCCATAGTTCAAAACTTATCAAATACTATTTTTAGAATATGTTAAATGGCCTTCCATACTACTTATCTACCTTTGTTTAATCATTTCAGCGACTTGATACAAGTGACTAAACCGGACTGCTGCGTGAAACCAACCATTGATATGGATGTTGAATGCCTAAAATCGAGATTAACACACAGATTTTGATGCAGAAGTAGTCAATAGGGGTAGCAGAAGACGAAAAACTGTGATGGGAAACCGAAAAAAAGGTAGAAAGCAGGTAAAACATACCGTATATTTGGTTATTCCGTCTTTTTCTACCAAAGTTTGAGTATCAGGTACGTTTATGTGAATCATGCTGTCCTCTCTCTGCACAGTCTTCCACGTGAACACATTAATAATGGAGCAATCACTCGAAATATTAGTCTGGAACATGTCAATCGGAGAACTGTATGATAACGTTGGGATGGATGGACATGAGGAGAAATGTGATATCATAAACAGCCGTAAATATAAACGAATCAACTCGTCGCTTACCGGTGGTTGAGAATATTCCAAAAACTCCAATTGCTTCGCTACGTAACAAATATTATAAGGAGAAAGGGCAGTTACTGAACAGCCACGACTTGTAGTGGCGTATTCCGAATTCACCATTGTCGTAAAAGGCGATGATGACGACGACGACGACAACGGAAGTGATACAAACGACGCCCGTGACGACGACGACGACGAGGGAATCGAGACGACTTGATTAAAAGAATGAACTTGTGCCAACAGAGATTATCATGACCGGTCGTGAATTGAACTTCTGGTATGTCGTTGGGCTATGAGAGAGGGGCTGTTAGAGGTAGAACTGGGAGGGGGCAGTTAAGCACACCGACAATATGCCGACCGGTTTATTTTTGACTTTGATATGATGATGCGCGAGATGGGCGCTCTCCCTCGCTTGAGGGATTGCGAATAACAAATTTTGATGATTTTCGTGTCTGTGTGTTTTTTCTCTTTAGAGAACATGAAACATAAGGTTTTCAAACACGGAGATGCCGTGTACTTATGCAGTATTTAGTGGTGCGAGGGTTATGAGGTGCAGTCGAAAGGGGGAGAGGTGTCTGTGTTACATTCCATTCTATTTGAAATGTTCTGAGGATGTTTTCACGAGGAATTGATGAATAAGAAATTGGAAAACAAAAAGGTTTAGATTCATTTATGATATTTGTGTGTGCAAGAAGCAAAGAGGAAGCTCAAAGGGAGTGTTGATAACATACGGTATGAAGCAGAGTTTCGATCACTTTTAGAGAAGTTTAGCTGTTTTATGATTGTTTAATTCTTGTCAACGACTAAAAATAGCCTTATCATATACTTAAGAATATCTATAATGAAGAATAATCAACTATAGACTTAATAATTAGAGTGAATTCCTTGAGTTTCACGAACCCAATATGGACATGAGACACGTATTCAGACTGCTCGCTGTTTACGCACGGCCATGCAGCCAGCAGTAGCCGAGTTACATTTGAAAAATAAGTAAGTCATCATCGGCTTACACAGATCGTTTTGGCTGAAATGTTGACTTGTTTCGTATTATCTTAATATGTTATTGATGATTAGGGGAGATGTATATGACGAGAACTCTGTGTTAATCTTATTTGAACGCTAATCTTTACCCATTCTTCGGTTGTTTATGTTAAAGGATAACAGTCACAAATACGAAAAACAACAAACGTTCCATTCAGATACATGGATGGATTAGGCTTGCCTGGGCTTCCAGGGATGTCAGGCATACATGGCCTTCCCGGTTCAGCCCTTAATGGCTTCCCAAACGTTATCCAACAGATGCAGCAAATGCCACAAGCCTTGACTGTAGCAGATTTCTGTGAAGAAGCTGATGACTATGAAGATGGAAATGAAGTTCCAGACATCCAGGTTTTGCATTCCTTTTATAGGGCTAACTAATGACAAGTTCTGGTTTAGATGGTAACGAAGAAAAACAATATTCTGCCTCTTTGGGGTAATCAAAACACAATGAATCTCAATGCTTTGGTCTTGGAAAATGTTCGAGAAAGTTATTATTATAAAAACCATTTGATCGAAATTGATAATTTCCAGCAATTACAGGATGAAATCTTCTACAAGGTGGGTATACGGTGAGTAGGCTTATTGCACTAAGCCGTAGAGCTCTCACTGAACAGTTCTTCATACTGCTTTTCAGGTGAAGCATATGGAACCTTGGGAAAAGGGTACCAGAAAAGTCCAGGGTATGACTGGAATGTGCGGAGGAGTAAGTTCTCTCTTTACTTTTGATTTAAACTTGTTGGTATTAGGTGAGAGGTGTCGGAGCTGGAGGTGTTGTCAGCTCAGCGTATTGTCTGTTATATAGACTTTTTAATATTAAGTTAACCAGGTTGGTGAATTCGAATCTCGTTTGTATTTCCGTTGTTCCAGACGTCATGTTATAACGATGATTAACAGTAGTGTATCGCCTTACATCAGAGGGTTAGGCTTTATGTATATTAGATATACTCAACCTCCTGCAGATTTATGGGCTTGGTTTGAACCATATTTGGTAAGTCGTCTTTTAATTTTCTGTGATGATATCCGATCATAGGATGATGAAGAAGAAGTTGATCCAAAGTCTGGAACTGGAGATCCAATGACTTTTGCCCAGATTGTCAAATTAATGCTGACTAAATTGGATTGGTATGGCACACTCTTCCCACGTATCCCTGTCCCTATCCAGGTAAAATTGGTTTCATGAACTTTGTCAACGATGGCTTACAGAAAGAGATCGATGAAAAGTTTGCTGAAAAGAAACGAGATCTCCTTCAACATGCTCGAGAAAGGTATATTACTACTTGCTTCTTCCATCATGTAGTGTTTAAGAGAGGAACGAAAACGAGGATACGAGAGACCTGAAGCTAAAATTGATCGGCTCCGCGAAGAGACTGTTGAGAAAAAATCCAAATTATCAAGATGTGGTCATCACCTGAGACACCACCATTGTCGTAAACATAGAAAGAAATGTCCGGCTAAAGCTAAAGAGTAAGTTTGTTGACACTCCGAGTGTTTTATTCAAGAACAACTGTTCCTTTGTCATTTTTTCCCCACGGAAAATTCCACGTAAACTTTTCACGTGAAAGCTTTGACGTGAGTTTATGGTTTTTATTTCGTAAAAAAAATGCCTGAGTGCGGTTGTGCATGGATTATCATTGATGAGTTCAATTAAATATTTTTCAGAAAAAGACTCGCTGAAGAAGCCAAAAAGAAAGAGGAGGAAAACAAGTAACAAGAACTTCCCACATAATCGAGCGTAAGAATATTAATTTATTCTTTTTTTTATTGCTGCGATTTTCGAGCACCATGTATGTTGAACTAATTAAACTATTTCATTCAGTTATTATTTCAATACTTATATGTTGACGCTTGCGTTCAAATGTTTTGTCATCATTCGTTCTATGCTTATCTTCTTTATAGCATTTTAACGAAATGAGTGCTGGTGAATGGTGTTTGATTGAGAGTGATCCTGGAGTTTTCACTGAACTTCTCAAAGGTTTTGGAGTGCGTGGTGTACAGGTTCGTCTCTTTTGTTTTATTCAATTGTGGTTATTCATTCAGGTTGAAGAGTTGTACTCTTTGGACGAACAACAGTTTGAAGTTCTCAGACCTGTTTTGGGACTTATCTTTTTATTTAAATGGAGGAAAGAAGATGAGGCTGTTGGAACTCCAGTTTCTGATGAGAACGTTTTCTTTGCCCAACAAGTAGGAATAATTTGTTTGCTTAATGCTGAATTCTGACACGTTCCAGGTTATCACCAATGCATGTGCAACACAGGCACTGGTCAACATGCTTCTGAACGTTGCTGATCCTAAAGTAGACTTGGGGAAAATTTTGGAAGAGTATAAGGAGTTTACCAAAGATTTCGACCCTGTGGTTCGTTCTGTGCTCACACACACACAAACCGGAGGATCGTTTGCTTTCAGAACAGAGGCCTGACAATGTCAAACTCCGAAATGATCAGAGATGTTCACAACAGTTTCACACGCCCAACATTGTATGAGCTTGATCAGAAGCGATCTAAGGGCGAAGATAATTACCATTTTGTATCATATGTCCCCATTAAAGGAAAAGTACGATGACTTCAGCATAGTTGTTTGCTAACTGAGATTTTAGGTTTATGAACTTGATGGTTTACGTGAAACCCCTCTCGAAGTAGCTACAGTCAAGGAAGGAGGAGATTGGCTCGAGGCTGTTCGACCAATCCTTCTTTCCAGAATGGAAAAGTGAGTATTGTACTTGACAGTTTCCATGGTACAACGATGCATATAGGCATAGTGAAGGAGAAATTACCTTTAATCTAATGGCTGTTGTGTCGGACAGGAAGGAAGAGTATATTCGCCGAATCACAGAATTGAGCGAGGTTTGATTTCCTGTTTAAGCGGTTTGTAGGTTTTTATTTCCTCCTTTAGAAAGAAATGATGACCGATGAAGATGCTCAGATTATAAACGATCTTCAGATTCGCATTGATAATGAAGATGAAAAGATGAAGAGGTACTTTTATTTGTTTGTTTCTTCACCCAGACTTATCAAACTTTCTAAGGTATAAGACAGAAAATGCTCGCCGACGCCACGACTATTTACCCTTTATTGTTGAATTGATGAAAGCCATGGCAAAAGAGGGCAAGCTTGTACCATTTATGGAAGAGGCATATTTTTTTTCGAACGCTTCCTATCTATTGTATTGATGTATTACAGGCTGCCAACAAAGCAATGGTCCGCAACAAAAAAGCTTGAATATAATGATTAACTTTGACTATTGATCTACATGAGTTTTGTATCGTGTAAGGTGACGGTTATTTGCAATGTGTTTATTTCGAACTGGTTTTAATAAACGTTTTAGCCAATGCTTTCAGTTTTTCGATTTGGTTTCATTTCCTTTACATTACTCCACCACCTATTTCTGTCGACCTTTGTAATCTTTACCACTTGATCTTATTCTTATGTCTTCTGATGCTATCTTCCACAGCCATAGATTACCCGCTGCGATTATGACACCGCTCGTCTAATTCTTAGAGAAAATCGTTGATTTCTCGTCAGATGTCTCCCTTTTTCTACCTTCTCTCCTTGATTATAGCTTTCTCTTTCTTATAGATTTTGTCTTGACCCGGATGAAGTGAGAGACGGCGGGTTGACGCGATTCCCGAATTAATGAGAGATAGTGAGAGTAGCAACATAACTTGAAGTGAACCTAAGGGTGATATGGTGTCGTATGTCCTTTAAACCGTTTCGTATACGAGTTGTTTTTGGTTCATTGCATAGTCTTTCCAAATAGTTGAGGAGAAGAGTGGCGATTCATTTACCTTATAAACCTAAAATGTCTGTTTGCTTTCTATTCGAGCGTGTAGACCCAACGCATCTTGAGGGTCCTCCTCCGTCTTCGGTTGATTCATCTCCACACATTCCTTCCTCGTTATGCCGCACTGTATCATGTCCAAACATGCCTTCTTTTGTCAATATTGTATTAATTTTCATTATGAAATTTAATACTCGTATGCACCGGGTTCAAACTGTTGCTTAACCATCTGTAGGCTCTCTTGACAGTTCGTCTTTCCTTTTTTACTAACTATACGAAGCATTTACATGTTTTCACGTTGACTCACCTCTTCGACGGTCATTTGACAGCACGTCCGTTCCGTCTGAGTCATCGCATGTCCTTTTTTAGTCAATAAGCGACTATACGATAATCAAAACACTTACATATAGATTCATGGTTTTTGTAATTCTTATGAATATAGGAACATATGTTTTTTGGTTCCACTTACTCATAGACCAATGAATTGAGATGACAACTTTTTTGTAATTTTTTTGTTTTAGCTTAGAGAGGCCTCCGCGTAGTTCTTATCTCTCTGAGGTTCAGGATACCTTTTCGGCATCCTTTATCTGTGGCAACATTGTTTTTTCTTTGTTTTCAAGTTTGATGCGTATCGTGGTGGATAGAAGAGTGAAGTGTATGCGGAAGCTTCTGTCAACCTTATATCATCTCCAAATCCTCTCATAGCTTCTTTATATCATTTTCTGTTCAAGCTTTTATTGGCCCGAGTCGTACCACTTATAGTATCCATTTTGATGATGATCGCGTATTATTAAGAATTGACTCAGAGAGAAATAAATCTGGCCTAAATGCCTAGAGAATGTTATTGAAGAGAGGAGTATCATAGCAGGATATATGCATTGTCCCTGACCTTACGACATTTATAACTGCTCTGCTAAGATTTGCGTTTAAGCCATAATGAGAGGTGAAGGCTTAACTACTTTGATTAAAACACTATTTATAGATGCAAACAGCGAATTGTTTATTCGTTTTACTCAATGCTCATTGATGTATTATCCATCCAGCAATATGTATAGAGAGAAACGGATTATGGGATGTGAATATGTGTTACTAATGTCAAAGCATGAAACGAATGTTAATAGCAATCGCCGCTTTGTCAGAATTTCTTTACAAATCATTTCTATCGCTTTCTCTGACCGCAGAATGTTTGTGAGTGATTTTGCATATTCCTAAATACTGCCGACTCACATAAGATCTTCACGTATTTCCCACGTCATGCAATTTCATTTCAACTGTGACTTCGCATCGAGCGGTTGCATTTCGCTTCTATTTTCTTTTCGAATTTGTATGTATATGCTCATGTGATGTTTTCATTTGACGCTTTATAAGGATCAGCTTATAGCGGTTGCTATGCAAATCAGTATATCTCTGACCCTTAGTCTTGCTCGTGACCACAATAGCATTCCCCAATTTATTTATTCCAAGCAGCTAATTTATATGAAAGGTATTTCTAGACGTCTTAATTCAGTCGATTACTGACCGATTTGGAGGTACTTTTTTAACGGCGTTCTTCCAGTGCGTCCGTTTTGAAAGTCGTTCCTGGCTTGGCCCTCTTTGTCTCCGCAACAAAAGATGTCCTCGCCATCTAAATGATGCTGTCCTCAGTCACTCATGGGTCACCAAAATACCTCCACTGTTTCCTAATGATAGAAGACTTCCAAATGTTGTTAGACAACTACAACGGTTTGTCTCTAATGTATCATTCCCCTTGAATCCGTAGGCGGCTTCTTGTGTAGACGTGACGTTTTCATGTATACTCATGTTCTCAAATTATTCATCAACACTGATTTGTTCTGAATTCCTTACTCACTCTGACAGCATAATGTATTTCGCGTAATGCTGGTACATGTTTTCCTTTAATTTTCATTTGTTATTTAATCAACACCATTCGCTCCACATATGGCCTTCTGCTCTTACCTTCCCTCTCAAGTAATGGACAGCTAGATAAGGGATAGATATGGCCCAGATGGAGAGTAACGGGTCGACACCATCTCTTGCCAATCGAGTCTCTCATTAAATGTCCAATGCCACGACCTGTCCCACCATCTAGACCTAAGCTTTGTATTCCACCTCAGTCCCAAATGTCTGTGCCTCCATGGCTTACCTAGTCTCTACATGATGGTCCATACACGCATACAGCCTTGCTCGTTGGCCTACCTGTCTTCAACTCTGAGACGCGACCTTCTCTGCGTCCCTACTTTGATCTTAGCAAAACCACATTGAGCATTCCCTTCAACTATCTTCTCTACCTCTCTCCTTCTTATTCCTTATTCCTTCTATAACCTCTCTATGTGTATGTATGTGTGTGTGTCATCTCTTCTTTATTTATTTTTAACGTTCGTCCCTTACCTTTAGTGACGGGACCTCACGTCTATTTGTAAATACAAGTCCACCCTGCTTCAGGCTAATCCTCTTATATTTCTCTATCGATTTGTAACATTCGCTCCTTTTTCTACGAATGTTCCGGACAGTTCATATCTCAAGGGACACCTTTTTCTCTCACGTTGTGATCAATGTGGTGTCAGCTTGCCTCAACTTTGGTGACAGGTTATTGAATGGCCCTATCATCATCAACATCATCATCATCATCAACAACATCACCTTGTTTTCCATTTAACTATTACTTACCTACAGCACATATATGTCATCCTACCCACTTCCAGTTGTTGCCCTTTCCCGTCGCAGGCACTTCAGTCGACGTCTTTCCATCTATTCTCTCGTAGTTTATTCTGGATTTCACTTTTTAGAGATTATCCGGTACAGCCTCATGTCACGTTCGCTTTTTTTCCCATTCATTCGATCGTATAATTCGTTTAGACGTCCATTCTCCTCTTCTTTAGCAATGCATCTAGCTCAGAATCTTATTTTATTTCATCATATCACCTTATATGGCACGCTTTTAAAAGGGAATGTCTTATTCATGCTGCTCCTCCCATCGTGCTTTTCACATTTTTTCAACTGCCTAGTGGTATCAATTGTTTTCATTGTTGTAACAAACCACGGCTGCAGCAGCACTCACAGATTTTTAAACGCGCTTAGGTGTCTTCTTAATCTCATTTGAGTGTTCTTTTCATCTTTTTCTTAAACATTTCTCATTCGTTGATGGTGCAGAACGTTGCTTTTTTCCTCCCATTCCAACTCTTCCAACTTCCTACATAGACGGTTCATGTCATTGCAAGCCAGCCTTTTTTCCACTCATCATCGACCTCTGCAATCACCCCAAGTGATTAGTCGGACTTGCCTCAGTCGAAGGTCAAACCGGCCTTTTTATTGCTCTTCAGCAATCTGCCTGGCAGGGACCGACGCCCTTTTCATGAAAAGGGCCGGCCGGAAGAAGTTTCTTTGACTTTCTCCTTTCCAACTTGATATCATGCTTGACCCGAATGCTCATGTGTCCTTCCGTATTTAATAACTTCCCAAGCTGTGCGCCTGACTGAGCTTTTCAGCGACCAAAGAGCTGGAACAGCTCTAGTTTCTCTTTCTATTTAGTATGCCCTCTCCGTCAGTGTTACTTCAACTTGTCCCATGTTTATATCATTTTTTCCTTCATATCAAGTTTTTTTCCACTTGGTTGCCTACATCCAAAGCGGCTGTTTGACCGGTGGTTTCGTAGGATCAGTTAACGCTTTTCGCAACACCGTCTCGCATTCCAAAGTTTAATGTCTTTTCCCGTTACCATATTTGGCGTTAACGGTTGGAAACTATTTTTTTTTGTTTCCGACATAGGACTGTGGGTTCTTACCTACTTGTTCTGCTTGAATGGCAGTCTCAGCCAGCTATCATCTTATTTGCCTCTCTTCTTTCCCTACTTCTTTCCTTTCTTCTTTGACTTCTTTGCCATCTTCTTATTGTCTTCAGCAATTCCTTAAACAGTCTTGCACTTCCTAGATAAAATAATAGAATTGATAAAATAAAATGAAGAGCTGAAAAGCATGAAAGAGGCATAATCATATAGATTACAGCATTCTTCCAACCTATTTCCAGCCTGTCCTCCTATCGATTCTCCGTAATGTTACGTCGACGTTATCAGAAAATCAGCTTTATTCCCGTTTTTTTTGAATTCTGACAGCTTATTAGTCTTTCTTTTTGATTTTATTTTTGTTATGATTGTACGAACAGATTCTTTATATTCAACCATCTTTTTACTGATTCAATCAGCTCAAGAATTCACTTTCTGTTTGTCTTGTCCGAGACTTGCCGTATACAAACAGATCCACCAACTCATGTAAGAATAGCATCGTCCGTCTGACAAATTTCGATGTCATCAGCATCTTCGTTGAAGCTTTCTCTCTCTCCCATTTTCTTATGGTGCTCTCCCATGACCATGCTTAATCCTTGTCATAGAGTGGTCTTCTATCTTCACAAGCCATTACCTCCAGTTTTTGCCTGACAACGTCACATTCGTCCCATCGTTCTGTCTGCAACAACCCATTTGTTTGTGCTGGCCAATTGGTCAACAGTAGTCAACCTGGAGGTTTACGTGTCCTTAAAAACTGCATGACGAAGATGTCACAGAAAGCAAGAACCTGAGAGTCGTATTGCCTGAGATGTTTATCCATCCTCTATGTATTTGCATGATTGGAATTGAACGACATCATCATCCTGTGAATCCACTGAATGTTCAATAGCAACTAGTATTGACATTATACATGAATATACACATATATGTGCCAAAAATCATTGCATGTTATCTGTCTTTCTGTGAGCAAAAGGTCTCCGATATGCTTGACTTCGACGACGCTTTACGATTCAACTGTCTTTGCCTCATACGACGTCTCTTTTCCCTCTCCTCCTTTTGCTATCTCCTTCATAATATTTTGCCGGCCTCACCACCTCTTCTATATCGGTATTGCTGCTCCTCTTCTCTTCCCCGCTTGTAGTCTGTTGAATCAACAAGCCGGACGAAGAAGACGCTCTAACTATAAATCGACTTGAACTGTTCTCGTCTTCTTCACTGACCACCCTGAAGCGTAATTTTTGTTGTCTTATTCGATGCTTTTCTTTGTTCTCCTTGTTATAATGCATGAGAAAGACTGGACTTCAATGTCTTCATCGCCCTTCCTTTCTCTTCGAAGAGAGAGTGAGAGCGCGAGAAGCGCACATCTAACAATACTAACACTGACGGTAACAGTTAGTGGAGAAAAAATTGTTATGTCATCTCCACCCTCTGCAACTGCTGATTCATACCTTTCATCATTTCTTATCTTTCCTACCACTCATTTTTGTCGTTGATTTTTTGAAGCCAAATCATTTATGGTTGCATTTAAAGAGACTGTTATTTCCTAGTTTTTCTAAGATAATAGATCGATATCAGTCCTGAGGTCATCGATTTTTCACCTCACATGTTCTTTTACAGTTACTCGTCGTGTTTTGTAGTTCTTGTCAATCTACAATTCGCTTTTCTTACTCATTTTTATTTCAGCGAACGTAAACCGTAGCGGACTTAGATATGCCGGTGCGCGACACATCAGGTGAGTCAAATAACTTAAAACTCCTTTCTCATTTCCCTCACTACTTACTTGACGACTGGTTGTTCTCCGCTGTTATACACGTATTTTGCTTAATTCTGACAAAAGCTTGTCTCAATTCTGATCAATTATCCTCCTGTTCAACTGACCGCAGTTGTCTCGTAGTGTTTTCCTCAATCTCTCCACTACGCGGCTGCCATATCATCATAATAGTGACTTCTATCTTCTACGAACTTCCTTTTGCTTCGTGATCTATGCTTAATCACTACATTTTTTTTCTAAATTCATATGAAGATGGATAAACTGTCTTTTATGAACTATGAGACCAGTCCTATATTGAGGTCTTCCTGTCAAGGAGCAAAAGAGTTGCTCCTTCGACGGAAATCGGCTAAGAAACAATCTAAAATTGAGTTCCATAATGTTTTGAAATCCATGTGCTATAGATTGGAGGGTGAGAGCCTTTACCCAGCAATTGTTTGAGCCTTCCTATTTTTCTTTTTTTATAGAAGCGCACCGCGCCATCGAGCTGCTAGAAGATTATCATGCGCAGCTCAGCCATATTCAGGATGAAGAACTCCGTCGGCAAATTGTCAGAATCATCTCAGCTTTCAAAAGAGAATTGTTCCAAACTCTATTAGGTATGACTGCTCTCAGTAATACTTTCCTACTAACTTCCATTTTCAGATGTTCAAGAGTTCTATGAAGAAACTTTGCTCAATGAGCGCAAAAGCAGTACTCAAAAAGTTGTCGAAGCCAGAAAGATGGCTGACAGATGGGATTCAACTCCTCCTTTCGGACTTCATCATAGCACAACTGCTACTGCTGCGCCATTGGCAAGTGAGGTGCGGGTAGGTTGAAGTTAACACTTAGCTTTTGCCTGAACTAAGGATAGAACCAATCAACTGATGATGTCTTGTTTAGGATAGAGGATTCTCATATTTGGACAACTCTATGGGAAATGCCCCAGCCAACACTTCCTATTCTTCCAATCATGTTGTTCATGAGAGATCTCGCCACCTTGTCGATGGAACATGGCAAACTTCCGAAACAACTGTTCGCACCATGGAAGGATCAAATGGTGGAGTTCAACGGCATACCATCTCGGTAAGATACTTGATTCTCAAATTAAAGAAACAAGCTTTCATTCCTCTCTTGTTTTATGCTCTCAAGTAGCCGCTTTGCGACAAGCTTGTTGATTGTTCTCTAGAGTACAATCGATTGAATGCTGTCACATAGTGTATCTGAAAGTCTCTGTTTGTGTCCATCCGTTGAAATTTTTTGATCAAATATCAAGAGATTATTCACTACTTCATGATTAGCTTGGGCGTGCTTACAATGCGTTCATTATGTTTTTGTTTACAGCACAGTGGTATAATCGATGAATTCGGAAGACAGTGGGAGATTGAAGACATAGTCTTGGAGAAAGGAAACACCGGGCTTGGTTTCTCGATCACTGGAGGATCTGACCAACCAACTGAGAATGGAGAAACTTCCATTTATGTAACCAACATAATTCCTGGTGGAGCAGCTGCTGCTGATGGACGCATGCAGTGAGTTCACTATCTTATCGGAAAATTTTTAAAACTGTTAATCCGCGTCTATCTTCAGAAAGAACGACATCATCTTGAAAGTCAACAATACGGATTGTGTGAATGTTGTTCATGAAGTGCCTGTAAATGCACTGAAAACAGCAGGAAACGTTGTTAAGCTGGTATAGATTAATGACTCCAAACTCTTTCCTAATCAGTGTTTACAGTCATTGAAACGTTTGCGTGATGGTGGAGTAGCCATCCCTATCTCTAATCTTGGGGGACTTAATAACAACTTACATCACTCAACCCATAGCTTGAACAGATTGTTAGTTTTATAAAATTCTATTTGTTCTTCATTTTTATTTCTTTCAGAGGAGCAACTGGTCCTACTTACCCCCCTCCACCACCTCCCGCTCACAGTGGATCACTTCATGGCTCTCAGCCAAACCTTAACTACAGATCTACCGACATTCGTCGTATGGAAGATCGACCAGGCGCACAATGGATAAATCTCCATAAAGGCGAAAAGGGACTAGGATTTTCTATTGCCGGAGGAGTAGGAAATGAACATGTACTTACCGACACAGACATCTATGTGACCAAAATCATCCCTGGTGGAGCAGCTGAACATGATGGTCGTCTTCGTATAAATGAGAAAATCTTGGCTGTAGATGATATAGCATTTGATAATGTTACTCATGATTTTGCCGTTAATGTGCTCAAGAATACAGGAGCCTATGTAACGATTTTGAAGTGCCCTAGTGATCTTAGTCGATCTTTCGCACCAGTCACTCCACAGAGAGGTTAGCTCCAATATCTTATTCTCGGTTTCTTAATATTTTAATTTCAGCTAGTTCAGTACAGGATTTCAACAACAGATCCTTCGACTCTCAATCTGTTCATGCTTATGGACAGCAGCAACAGCAGCAGCAACAGCAACATCAACAGCCTAACCAAACTACTATTAGTATTGACCCTCGTTATGTTAACCTTCACAAGGGCGGCCAAGGACTTGGGTTCAATATTGTTGGAGGAGAAGATGGAGAGCCAATCTACATCAGTTACGTTTTACCTGGCGGTGTTGCTGATCTCAGTGGAAACGTGAGAAAAGGAGATGTTCTTCTGGAAGTTAATCGTCAATCCCTCCGAAATGCAACTCACTCAATCGCTGCTGAAACTTTGAAGAATGCTCAGAACCCAGTTACTTTAACACTTCAATATCGTCCACACGGTGAGTATATCAGTTCATGGAACAAACACAACCGATCTGCGAGTCAAATCACATGAAATGAAACTCAGAGTCACGGTTGAACTGTTCAGCGGATAGATTTTGAATGTATTGACCTGTCTTCTTCCAGATTATCAACAATTTCAATCTAGAGTAGAGCGTCTAAGAAACGATATGATCCAACAACAGAATAGTACAGGAAACCTTCAAAGAGATATTTACGTGAAGTGAGTTCAAAATTGGAGTATACGTCATGTAAAAGTGTTATAGAGCTTTGTTCGATCATGATCCATCTCGGGAAGTAGGTGTACCTCATCGCTCAATGCCATTCCAATATGGTGATATTCTTCATATCATTAACAACCCAGATGATGAATGGTGGACAGCACGAAAAGTATGGCTTAGTTATTGAACTGCAGTTCATTGATATGTTTCAGATTTTCGAAAATGGAGAGGAAGGGCCTGAAGGCGTGATCCCCTCTAAGAAAAGAGTGGAGAAGAGAGAAAGAACTCGCAGAAAGCAGGTTAACTTCAATGCTGGATCCATGTCTTTGGGACGTAACAGTACTGGATTGGAGAACCGTAGAGGAAGCAAGAGTCAACTCTCGTTCTCTCGCAAGTTCCCATTCGTTAAGAGTACAGATAGATTGAACGAGTTCACCGATCAAGAACGTGAGTTGCTTCTCCAATCTCCATGAATATTTGTATGAAAGGGAAAGAGAAATAGTTATTGAACATATTTAGCAACAGCTACTACCATGACTTATACATCTTACACTAGCGATAGTGATTTTAGTAAGTACGAGTGTAGATATGTCCGTTGAGTTTGGAATAATGACAATGGTTGCTCTGTCGTTTGCTAACTTTCATGTCTCTGACTGTTTGTGTGTTGAAATCTAATCATTAGAAATAAAAAAAAAGAAATTGTCTTAACAATTATTTTTCAGTCGGAGTGTCAGATGAACCAATCTTCTCCTATCAAGTTGTGGAACAACAACAACGTGAGTATCTCAAACCACCCAAGTTAAAAACTTTTAAATCATTTTTAAGTTGGATATGTCCGTCCTGTGATTGTTCTCGGAGCTTTGAAAGATAGAATCAACGATGAGCTAGTAACAAGATATCCTGATAAATTCTCAAGCTGTGTTCCTCGTAAGTTTTTTTAAACTTGAGGATGTGCCAAACAACATGTTGTTTCAGATACCTCTCGTGATGCCAGACCAAATGAAATTGATGGAAGAGATTATCACTTTGTGTCTAAAGCTCAAATGGATGATGATGTTAGGAAGAATTTGTTCATCGAAGCTGGACAGTTCCAAAACAACTTGTACGGAACTAGCATTCAAAGTGTGAAGGAAGTAGCCTTGCAGGTAACTTGATACTTGTCCTCAAGCTGTTAAACACGTTCACAATTTGCAGGGAAGACATTGCATCTTAGATGTCTCTGGCAATGCGATTCGAAGACTCCAATCTGTTGCTAATATCCATCCTATCGCTATCTTCATTAAGCCTCAATCTCATCATCAAATCAGAGATTGGGAGCCTAACATGTCCGACGACGAGGCTCAACAAATCTATCAAAGATGCCAACGAATCGAGCAAGCTTTCGGAGACTTATTCACTGATGTCATCTCGAGTGTTCATTCTGCTGATGAAGTACTCAACAGAGTTCATCATATTATCCAAAACCAATCTCGTCCAGCCATCTGGGTGGCAAACCCTACCAAGACTCTTTAAACGATTTCAGCAACGTCTTCAATACTTTCCAATACTTTTGTAATTTGAAACAAGAAAAGTTTATCAATGATTTGTGATGTGACTAATTTTAATAAGTTTTGTACTATAATAAGCTGTTTGGATGTCTGAATAATGTCATAAACTACCTTTTTTTTAGGTTTGTTACCATTTTCCTAACTTTTTAATCCAAAGAAATGTGATTGATGCTTCATTCTATCGTGTTGTGAAAATTCAGACAGTTTTATGATTGTTTTACTTATATAATTCGAACATAATTAAATAAATATTTTATTATATTCATTTGCTATCCGAGTAGCCGCTCTTGAGACTGAACTCTGTCATTGAACTTCCATGTTCAGTACTCGATGAAGTTGATACCTCTACAACAATAATATAAATGACAAGGAGTGAGTATCTTCAACTACCTTCAGGTTCTTGATTATCAATCTCTACGGAGACTTCTTGATTGTTGTTAATGTCAACCATCTTAGAATGATTGTCAGATGATTAGTATAACGAACTTTGAACCTCTACTATTTCATTCTGGCTGGGTATTTGGGTACTCTTGGATTCTTTCTTGACCATCCCATCTCCTTTCCTAGTAGTTTTCCTATTCTAAAAAACAATCGTTGTAACAAAAGAGAACTGCAGCAGTCTAATGTTTCAGAACTAGAGATTCAAACAAGACACATAAAACAGGAAACGCATATGATATACGGCGCAAGTGAATCAGGAGGTATATTTACAACATAGTAGTTATGTGAAGCAAGCCAATGATGATTACAATAATCTTGATAGGAATAGCCGTATGAGTAACTTCTGATTACAAATAAGGAAGCTGAGGTCAAATATTATAACTATTTAAGAAAACTTGTGCAAACCTTTTGCTTATAAAGAAGAGCAGCTATGGTGGCTGAAAGACCAACCAGAATTAGGAGTGTATACTCTACCGTAACGGTATTCATTATTCATGAAGTGTTTCTTGTCAGTGGTTCTACTTACAATCAGCACGCCGAAATTAGCATATTTCAAATTATACGCGCGCAAATTAGTGTACGTGAAACCCACGTCTGTACGTAAATGACATTCTCGTGAACAACTTGTTGGGCGCCTCAGTCATTTTACTTAATTATAGGATGACGGAAAGATTGCTAGAAAAAAAAATTTCAGACAATTTCAATTTCTCTTCACTTTCTGAGATCAGGTAAGAAACTTCTCATCGAATCATCATGCTTTTTTGACCTTGTTTCACTATCTCATGCCGCGCATTGTACAAAGAGTAATCACGTGGCAGATTGATGTTAAGAGATTGTTCATTACTACTCTAACCTCTTACAAACTACAAATTGCAAGTTACTTCCTCTTGTTTTTCGACTTTGATACTTTCCTTATCTTCAACAGCTATTAATATCTCCTTAAATGGCGTTCGCTCTTGTTTTAATCAATCATTTGCTTCTCTCCTTCTTCACCCTTTATAATTTTCTTTGAAATTATTATGCTCTTTCATCCACATCTTTTCTTGATTCCAGCTATTACATTCTGCTTTTGGCTTTATCATGATGTTATCATTCAGTTGTTGGTCATACTTTCTCGTATCTCTTATCATTCTATGATATCTCCCCTATATTGTCAGCCCACTTGTCTTCGCTAGGTTCGGCCTACTATATAACTGAATTGTTACCTTCGTATCTCTTTTTTCTAGATTTTGTCCAAACACTTTTCCTTTTAGCATTTTATCGGACATTCTACTCTATCATTTCAGATGGCTCCTCCGAATACGCATCCAATATCTAAGGATACCCCTGATATAGAGGTTAGCTTTCTTGATTCGTTTTCTTATCCTCATCAAACTGATTGAATTTGTTTCTTTGATTATCTCTATCATCTCTCACTCTTTGTCATAAGAGTATGTAACTTGCGTTGAGAGACAATGACTGTGGCCTCGCCATCTATGGTATTCCCTTAATTGTGTGAAAAGAGACAGCAGTGTTTATGATAACTTATAACATCATTAGAAATGATCAAATGGCTTTACAGCGAAGTTAGCTTTGCATTTGAAGTTTGTAAAATCGAGATGACAGCGCAGTTGTTGAACTTATCACATCTGATAGTTGGATAAGTTGGATTACTGGTCAAAAGACACATACTCTTCTGGTCATCAGTTGTTTCGATTCTTCTCAACAATCATTTCTATATTTCAATTGTATTGGAACAATTTATTCTGAAACAGTCAGCTTTTTTTAAAAGAAAGCATTTGGAAAAGTAGCAATACGTGATAGGAGTGGGAGAAGGTTTATGGTGAAAACGTGCTTGGCTATCAATCTCTTCGATAATAAACTGCAAAACAGGCATGGTGTTATAATTGGAAAGAAATTTTGAAGATTCGGAGGTTTTCTTAACATTGAAAGCCATCATCGACAGCTCGTCTGTCTCTAATAAACAGTGGAAACTGTAATAACGAATGAATGGATAGCATGGTGTCTTTTGGAGAACTTCTCCAATCCCCCCAACATTCGAATTCTTTTTATTCTTTCATATTTTTTAATTGTTCTCTTATCAGTCGACAGTGAAGAGAATCATGATAGTTAGAATATAGATAAGATGAACTAATCGAGGTAATAGTCCAAGTGGAAAAGTTTAAAAATGAAAAATAACGTTTTGAAGATAATGCTTTGATCTTATTTGCTTTCTTTTTTGTGATCTTTGATAATCTAACTTGATGTTTTCAGTCGATTTTATCACTCAATCCTAGAGTTAACAAGAATGCTAAGGCTGTGCCATCTTATGATACCAAGAAGAATAAGGCTAATTGGAAGAGAAATGGTGACAAGGGTTGTAATGTATGCTTTCATGTGAAGCACAGTAGTATACTGTTCCATATTATAGGGATGTGGTCCTAATTTAGATAGTGACTTCAGAGATATCAAACACACAACTTTGAGCGAACGCGGAGCTTTACGCGAAGCATGGAGGTCGGAATTTTCTTGTTTATGTTTGTAGTTTGAAGTTGTTTCATATTCAGATGCTTGAAATGTGCTGATGCTCCCTGTCAGAAGAGTTGTCCAACGCAGCTTGATGTTAAAACCTTCATTACTAGTATTTCCAATAAGGTTTTATATATTATGAGTTGAATGCACTTATGCTGTATCTCTAGAACTATTATGGTGCTGCTCGACAAATTTTGTCTGATAATCCTTTGGGTTTAACTTGTGGAATGATCTGTCCTACATCAGATTTGTGTGTCGGAGGCTGTAACTTGCAAGCTAGCGAAGAGGGTGCTATCAACATTGGTGGTCTTCAGCAGTATGCTTGTGAAGTTTGTCCTCTTATTAATGGAGATTTATCAAAACTTCTGTTAGGTTTTCAAAAAAATGAATATTCCCCAAATCGTCTCAAAAGAAATTCGTGAAAGTCGCAACGAGTCGCACAAACAGCCCATAGCTCTGTTAGGATGTGGACCAGCATCTATTTCTTGCGCTTCATTCATGGCTCGTCTTGGATACACAGACATTACCATTTACGAGAAAAGAGATTATGTAGGAGGATTGAGGTTTGATAAATAAGGAATGGTCGTTAAGACTTATCATTCTTCTAGTTCTTCTGAAATTCCTCAGTTCCGTCTTCCGTATGATGTAGTTGATTTCGAAATCCAATTAGCTAGAGACATTGGTGTGAAAATTGTGACTGGTAGAACGTTGAGCAAATCAGATATCACCCTTGAAGGTCTCAAGGTTTGTAACTCCTAACTTCATTCTTGACCAATCGTTCGCAGAAGGACGGCGTGAAAGCAGCTTTCGTTGGAATCGGAATGCCAGAGCCTAAAAAGATTGGAATATTCCAAGGACTTGAGCAAAGTCATGGGTTCTACACTTCTAAAGATTACCTCCCACTTGTCGCTGCCGCCAGTAAGCCTGGTATGTGCGGATGCAAACAAACTCCCTTGCCAACAATGCGTGGACGTGTTATTGTACTTGGAGCTGGTACAGTTAATATGTTTTTCTTTAACTGAAGCTCAAATATTTAGGTGATACTGCTTTCGATTGTGCCACTTCTGCACTTCGTTGTGGAGCTAGCCGTGTAACAGTTGTATTCCGTAAAGGTTTTACTGGTATTCGTGCAGTGCCTGAAGAGGTATAGCGTTTGTTAATGCTATGATTCTCTATGTTTCATAGATGGAAGCAGCAAAAGAGGAAAAGTGTGAATTCATGCCTTTCTGTGCTCCTCGTGAAGTGAATGTTAAAGACGGACGTATCGTCAGTATGTCCTTCTATAAAACAGAGCAAGATGACGAAGGAAACTGGTAGGCATTCTTGACTCTATGTTTCCTGTTAATTTACGTGCTCTAGGTACGAAGATAAAGAGCAACCTCTGACACTTAAAGCTGATTACATTATCTCCGCTTTCGGATCAACATTGGTTGACAAGGAAATCATTGATGCACTAGCTCCAATAAAATTGAACAGATGGGGCACACCAGAAGTTGATAAGGTTTTCAAAATATATAAAGAGTTGTTCCCATACGCTGTTTTCAGAGCACTCAGGGAACCTCAGAACCTTGGATATTTGTCGGAGGTGATGTTGGTGGAGTAGCTGAAACTACTGTTGAATCAGTCAATGATGGAAAAGTTTGTGAGACATACTTGAACGATGCATGATAGAAATTTTACAGGTTGCTGCTTGGCACATGCACAAGTACTTACAATCATTACACGGTGTTGATGTTGGTTCAGAAGTCAAGTTACCCATGTTCACAACTCCCGTGGATGAGGTTTTGTTTTGTTTCTAGCCTCCCATCTTTCTAGTTCCATTTTACAGGTTGACGTTTCGGTAGAAATGTGTGGAGTGAAGTTTGAGAACCCCTACGGGTTAGCGTCAGCTCCTCCTACTACCTCAGGACCTATGTGTCGACGTGCTTTCGAACAGGGATGGGGATTCATTTTGACTAAAACATATGGACTCGATAAGGTTAGTTTGAGAGGAATCACAGCCTCATAAGAGTATGCTAAACTGAAATCCGTATTCAGGACTTGGTTACTAATGTTTCTCCCCGTATAGTTCGTGGTTCCACAAGTGGTCCGGTGTTTGGTCCTAATCAAGTTGTTAATGAAAGGCAGACGGAAACAATTTCATTCTTCTAGGGCTCATTCTTAAACATTGAACTGATCTCGGAAAAGTCTGCTAACTATTGGTTGCAATGCATTCGTGAATTGAAAAGAGATCATCCCACCAAGATTGTCATTGCCAGTATCATGTGCGTCTTTAACAAGGTGAGTTACACTTCTAGAACCCTTTCACAGTGTTTTGTTAGGAAGATTGGGAAGAGCTTGCTACTCGATCCGAAGAAGCCGGAGCTGATATTCTCGAATTGAACTTGTCTTGCCCTCATGGTATGGGTGAGAAAGGTATGGGTTTGGCATGTGGACAAGATCCTAACATAGTACAAACTATTTGCTCGTGGGTGAAGGCTGTTGTGAAGGTGAGAATTTCTATTATCTTCCGTTCATAATATCGTTCCAGATTCCATTCTTCCCCAAAATGACTCCTAACATCACTGATGTTCGTGCTATCGCCAGAGCTGCCAAGGTAATTATTCTATGTGTCCAAATATAGCAGGAACCAACTTAGGACGGAGGTGCCTGGGGTGTCACAGCTACCAATACTGTTTCCGGATTGATGCACATGAAGGCTGATGGAACATCTTGGCCATCGATTGGTCAAGAGAAGAGGTATTCGAAAACAGTATAGGCGCACATTGAATTTTCTTAGAACTACTTATGGAGGAATGTCTGGATCTGCTATCCGCCCTATCGCTTTGAAGGCAGTATCTGCTATTGCAAACGATTTAGATGGCTTCCCAATCATGGCTACTGGTGGAATCGAAAGCGCCGAAACAGGCTTAGCTTTCTTGAGCGCTGGAGCTTCAGTTCTTCAGGTATTGTTTGTATCTGCTACTCTTTCATCATATATCACTTCCTCAGATCTGCTCTGCAGTTCAGAACCAAGATTTCACTGTTGTGGAAGATTACATTGTCGGTCTCAAAGCTTTGTTATACTTGAGGGTAAGACTGTAATTATGAAATATCTACTGCTTTTTTGTAGGGATGTGCTTCATTGAGAAATTGGGATGGTCAATCTCCACCAGTGGAGAAACATCAAAAAGGAAAACCTTTGCTTTTGAAAAATTCGGTGAGGAAGTAGCTTTTGGTGCTAGTGAATATCTTTTCTGATTACAGGGTCTTCCCAATTTCGGTCGTTTCTTAGAAGAAAAACAAAGACAAGAACAAGAGATACTTAAGCAGAGCGATTTGTTATCAACCACTGATATCGAATTCGCTAAGCGACCTGCTGAGGTTCCGGAGAGAATTCCAACTGTCCAAGTAGGCTGCTAGGCTATTTTAAAACCCTGACAATGCTTTTAAGGATGTTATTGGTAATGCTTTACCTCGTATTGGACCCTACGTCACTTTGGATAACCAGCAACAGAAAGTAGCTGTCATCGATGACGATATGTGTATCAATTGCGGAAAGTGTTATATGACTTGTAACGACAGTGGATATCAGGTACGTGACTATTGCGTTTCGATCAGAACTCAGTCATCTAGGCTATTCGTTTCGATCCTGGTACTCATGTGGCTTCTGTCGTTGAAGATGACTGCACTGGATGTACTCTCTGTTATAGGTTTGAACAATAACATCGTATAAGCTTGAGAAAAACTTTTTTTTAGTGTTTGCCCTATTCCTGAATGTATTCAAATGGTTCCACGGAAAGGAGCGTGGAAAGCCCCAAAGAGAGGTCCTTTACCTTACGAAGAGCCAGGCACCCCTAAAGTAGTTCAAGTCGATGCTCGTGGTAGAGTTCTTCTGAACTGAAAACCATTTCGCAGTTGTTTGTAATTGTAGTAATAATTATGTATTAATAAAGGTTTTAGAATTTTTATGTTCTTAGAACTTGTTGCGAACAGCTCTCTTGATAAATGCCTATGACTTGATAGCGTTGTATGATCGACGTTCTGCAGACTTGGTTCAATGATGAAATCCAAATCCCAGTTCATCTGTTACCAATTACGAACTAGCTAAGAACACTTTCTTCTTGTATGATGTAGGTATACTCAAAATTGACTGAAATGTTGCTTCAGCTTCCAAGTTTCAAATAGTCTGTTCAAGTGTCTGTCATTAATTCTTCGAACCTAATAGACCATTCCACAACGATGCCATCTGCAAAGTCCTTTTGATTTTTGACTCTGACATCAGATGCGACATTTGCACGGAATGTTATGATAGAGTGTATTCTAAAAACTTGTTATATTCGGGGAAACTACGAACGTTCAGTCCTTCTCTACTCATTTCTGCTCATCAAAAGTAGTCAAACAAAAAAAAAACTTCCCGATTTCGTCAATTTTTGAGAA